GCACTTGCTTCAAGGGCACCCCTGTGCCAGCAACACAATAAATCATCCTCAAGGATGATTGAACATGGGCTGAATGTGGATTGTCAATGATCCGTGGGTTATTGTGTTGTCCGAACCCAGCAGAGATACTAATCCGAAGCTTGTTAACCACAAACAACCCATTAAAAAATACCCAGAGTTTGTTGGTGGTTTATGAAGTGTGGGTTGTTCATAGCGGTTTGTTGCCTTGGCTGGGTCCAGACAACCCACAGTTCCTCTGTTCAGTGTGTGTTATGTTGTTTGGACCCAGCCGCCAGGCTGATCCAAAGGCTTTGAGTGAAGAAGCTGGCTTATGCTAGGTCTGTCTGTCTGTCTGTCTGTCTGTCTGAATAGTGGGGATTTCCATCAGTGCTTCTACAGGGTCTCAGACAGGGGAACTACATGATACTTGATCCTGTTAACAGGAAACGGCAGCCCCTCTGCCACTGAGCACTGATTCCTTCCCTTCCCCTGATCGCTAGCGTCATCTGCAAGGAACTGAGTGACGGCCGCTGAGTATCCCTACACTGCCATTTCACTAAAATAGCACTCAGCAGAGTTTCTACAATCCAGATGTTCGAGTAAAGGATGTCAACAGCTTGATAACAAGTTCACAGGACAAGGGCAACACAGCATAACTAAAGTAATCACGAGTGCACAACTCCTGTTCAAATTAATGGCACCAACACTGCAATTCTACACTGAGTAAGAATTGGGAATAAATCCCACTGAACTCAATGGTACTTATTTCTGAGTAAGGATTTCCAGAGGGGCAGCCAGTAAAGTTGACTGCAGCAAAAACATTAACTTCTCATCCAGCTCAAGCCAAAATAAATTTCTTAACCCTTAAGGTGCCGCAAGACTCCTTGTCTTCTGAGTGGATATATAGAGGATTGCATGGTTAAGACCCTACAGTCTGCTGCAATTCCATCCAGTACAGTCACCTAAGAGTAAATGCTGCTGAGTTCAATAGGACTTACTTCTGAGTACCTGGGTATAGGAAAGCACTGTTCACATTCCACCAATTCCAATTCCACAGCTGTCACTTGCCTAGAGAAATCTCAGATAATTAAAATGGAAACCCACAGGCTGAATCAGTTGTATTTGCATAAATCTGTGTATGAATAAACATGTCTGCAATGTGGGAAGACATCACTGCTTTGTCTTTTCCAGTGTCACAGCAGACACAATCGCTGAAAATGCAGGCAGCGGCAGAGAAAATGCCTCAATTGACTCCCGTCTGCTAGAATTGCAAAAACATACAAGAAAAATAAAGTAACTTTTAAAAAACCCTGCTGCTTACTCTACCAGGGGGACATTGAAATTATTTTAAAAAATCGTTGGGACTAATTAATCTACCATTGAAGATCTATGCTTAATGGGACTTCTGCATGGCTGTAACATTTTGTACATCAGTTAATGACATTTCACAATCTGGGTGCATTATCCTCATTTTTTTATTTCGTCTCTGCTAGGCACTGGCATAGGCAAAGACCAGCTCAGCCACCCCTCTGCCTTTCAAGATTTACCTTGGAACTGCACTTGAATTTTCAAGCCTATCCGAGTTTCAGCCATAAGGACTAGACACTTAAATTAAAGCAAGCATCTCAGGACGCCTGATCCTGCACCTCACAGGGAAGGCTTCTGCTGAATCTGTGCTTTAAGACACCCAGCCCTGGCTGTTTTAAGTGTGTTTGACCTCACAATGCTGCCAATGCTCCATTTAACTATTTTAACCTTCTATTTTTACTGCATTTTCTTAGAATTCTAACACTTTCTATCCTTTTTATGTAAGCTGCCTTGAAGGGGCTTTGCTTCAAAAGAGGACCTAGACACATTTACACTTCCATGAATTCCAATTCAAGAGCGAACGGTCAGATCCAAAGGAAGTTAAGTCTGAGGAACTGAATTCACAGGTATTTTGAGAGCTGTAATTCAGAGTTCACGGCTTGCCTGGTCTCTAGAATCGGGATGATTGTGCATACAACATGGGCGCTATTCAGCCTGGATTGGCTAGACCAGGGGTCTGCAACCCGTGGCTCCGGAGCCGCATGTGGCTCTTGAACCCCCCTGCTGCGGCTCCTTCGCTCAAAACAGGCGCTGGCCGGCCAGCACTCAGGAAGGCTTAACTAGCTAGTTAAGTAAATCGGCTAGTTAAGTAAATCGCTACATTCCTCTTCTAAACAAGCTTCCTGCAGGCTCTCATTTTACAGGAAACGAAACCTGCTGAAAGAATTCTCTTTGTCCCAATGTAATCTCCTTCATCTGAATGTTAAAAGCTGTGCTTGGGACCTGTCACAATTCACAGCACTTGACTGTTTATCTGATACTCAGTCACTAAACACACCTATATCTCTGGCACAGCCCCCCCCCCCCCCCCTCCTGCCCCCCCCCCCCCCCCTCCACCCCCCCCCCCCCCCATGTAGGCCAACCATGGATAAATTGAAGAAAAGTTTCTGAAGAAAACCAAATGTTTAATGGTACGTGGGTAGATTCATTTGCTTTTACTGCTGATGAACTTATGGGGTTTGCTGTTTAATGCATGCAGCCCTTTAGCTCTGGATTTGACTCTTCAGGAAGCTGTTCTCCTATTCAAAATATATGAAAGGAGTCCTACTAGTTTATAATGTAAGATTAAAAATAACAGTTTTTAGTGACTGAACAAGAGCTGCAGCTAAATCATAATGAAGATATACTTAGCATTAAGGTAAAAAACAATATATGCAGTGTTATCTTCATTTTAGATGTCAAAAGGGTTTTGCGGCTCTCGGTGTTTTCTTTTGTGTGGGATATGGGTCCAAATGGCTCTTTGAGTGTTAAAGGTTGCCGACCCCTGGGCTAGACTGAAAACAAAGGAATCAAGTTGAAGCTGTTGAAAATTCCCTGCCACCTGAGAGCCTCTGGGAATTATTGCTCCCTTTCATTTTAAGGTGCACTTACAGTGCAATCCTATGGCCTCCCAATGTTATCTGGGAGGGCAAAGGATTTTTTGTGTCTGATCCCTGTGCCCTCAGCTGATTCAGAATAAAGCACCCCCGGCTACCCCCCCCACCCCAAGATTGCAACTGGGCCTCAGAGGGGGAAAAGGGAACAGGTGCAGGGACTGTGGAGCTGCACAGGTGAGACTGCCTCCTCCTCCTCCCTCATGCTAAATCTAGACTGCCAAAAACAGCCATATAAACGTGAGGTGTCGGGCACTGTGGCGGTGGAGATCACCAAAGTGCATTGTCTTTGCTGCAGGGGTGAAAGGATTGCACCCATAACAACAACCCTTAAACATACTTCTATAAATGCAGGAGACAAATCCATGTACTCTGCGAGAGCCAAGGTCAGCATCAGCTCCCAGCGGAGCTTTCATGCTACGTGCAATGCCAAACATGGGGTTGTTGCTGTGTGATGTTTGGGGTGGCCCAAGGAGAAACTTACAATATTCGTAACACCTTTCCAAAGCTTTTTTGAGTTCCAGGTAGGAGAAGCCAGGCCAATGAAATTTAACTCAAAACAGACTCTGATCCGAAAAAGATGGCTCTGTCCTGAAGGTGCAGCATATCTGGGCAGCATCTCTTTCCCTCACCCCCCATTTATGGGGTGCTGTGGAATCCTGGAGCCCTTGAAAGTTCATATGGCTTCAGAATCGCCAGGTTACTGCATCTCTTGCAGAGAATTTGATTCAGTGCTAGATCAGTGCAGGGTGTTGATCTCTGGGTTTTGCACACACAGACGGCCACGGCCACACACATGCACACACACACGCGCACACACACACACTCGCAGGCCATGGCTTCTCGTCTTCGTGTGGACTGGCACAGCCCCAAAGTATCAAAAGAAAACTCCCAGTGCAATATTTTGGATGTCCTCCAAGTTCTCTCCGCCACCGTGGGTCTATTACGCTGGGCAGTGCGAAAAGCCAAATTGGTGGCCAGTGGTGAGTATCCTGACACTCAGAAAATACAGATACACAGACACACACACACCGCAGTGAGTCACAGTCTTCCAAAGACAGAAAGGCGGAGGCGGTAGCAGAATGAGGTAACTCGTCTCCCAATGGGGGGGTGTGGCATGACCTGCCGGCCTCTTCTAATGCGCTACCGTCCATTAGGAGAGAGGGAAGTGGAACGTGGCAAAGGTGGACTGACAGCTACATAAAGAAGAAGCTACAGGAAAGAGAAGAGAAGAGAAGAGAAGCGGTTCAGAATCCAAAGTGGGGGAAGCAAAAGAAGTAGAGAAAACAAACAGTATTTCAAAAAGTAAACGGTGAAGGAAATACGGAAAAGAAAGGAGTTGGTATACTCAGGGCTGCTTGGCATTGGCGACCCTTTGCCAGTTGAAATTCTTCACTCAAAGAAACCAAGTTTGGGAATCTGATTTTTCCTCACCATATTTTATTCTGTTGCTGAATCTTTTATTACTGTTCAATATTGCTTCCAGTTTCCCATTGGGAATAGTTATTCTCCAAGCCTGGGTTTTCAAAATCTGACCAAGCAACTTATCTTGCCAGGCATACCTTTGCTGCCTGAGAAAATTCTTCTTTTTGCAACGGAGAGCTTGCGTTCTTAGGGTATAATGTTCCATGGCAGATACCTAACTTCACCCATGCACCAAATGGAGAAATGCCAAAGACAGCCCTGAGTATAAAGACCCAGAAACATGCAAAATCGAAACTCAAAGAAATTTGACCTTGCCAAGATGCTGAGCAAGAGAGCACAGAATGAGTTTCCAATGCGTCACTGATTTATAAAATAATAAACCTAGGGAGTAAAACCTAGGGAATAAAATAATACACCTAGGGAGTAAAATAATAAACCTAGGGAGTAAAACAGAAAAGAAATGGTACACATAGAAAGGAGCTTGGGGAAACCAAAATGCTGGAAATCCAAGGGGTTCAAATTATTCCTCCCTTGATTTCTTTCCAATCTCAGAAACATTGACTAACAACCCACAATGAAAATATTATTTAAAATGAATGCCACACACATAAAAAATGCCTGAGTTTTGTTTTTGTTTTTTTAAAAATGTATTTTCTCCTTCCCACTTTGTGTTCAGACTCCTGGGAAGTGAACATTCAAGAACATATACAAGAAAACATGTCCATCAAATGTACAAGATTCCCATTATGGGTATACTTGGAAAAGTAAGACCATTGCTGACATTGAAAAGTGTGAACGAAGTCTAGTGGACGGATACATATCACATATAATGCTATATTAACACTGTAAGTTGGTTACAAAGGAATTCTGTTAAAAACATTGTCTACTTTCAAAACAGGAAGGTATAAGCAAGCTACACCTAAAAGGTTTTAAGGCAGTCAGCAAACTTTAAAAAATAACAACAACAAATCACAAAACAAGTATACAAAGTATTCCAACAGCTGTTCACAGTTTTATTCTCAATTAATTGGGGGGCAGGCAGAGCAACACAACCCTTCATATACGCTTTGGAACGACAATGTCAGGTTTCCACTAGACAGATAAAAGCAGTACTGCAAATACAGCTGTGGGTTTTCTTCTCCGTCGATGACAAGAGAGGGTAAAAAGGAAACCATTTGCCTTCAGTGAACGGCCAAGATACAAGTCAGATGCACGGGGTAAGGAATGTGCACAACAGGGGATTCAGTTCTTGTCCCATCGCAAAGCAAAACATTTTCAAGCTGACTCACCACCCAGTTCAAAACGTCTTGGAGTATTTCGGCCCCACTGTGGAGTGCGCCAACCCCGGTGGATTTCCCCATTCATTTCAACGGAGAAAAACCTCACAGGTGGTATCCTTTCCCTTAAATCAAACAGGATGGCCCTTGCAGGAGCACGTGTGCACGCAGGTACAAGAGATCACATGGCTGGGGCACCCACGGTTACGCTACCGTATTATTTATCCCGTTTCTATACCATCCAAGAGCAGAAGGGTGGCTTGCAGCAATTCCATTGACCTGGACTTCCAATGGCGTGCTCCGGCTTTACGCATGCACGCACCTGTCTCTGACTCACATTCAAACAAACAGAATGCAACCATCTACCAGATCACGTGGTTAGCAAGCATCTCAGGTAACTAAATGCTGTCACCTGGGCTTTAACGGTATGCTAGGAAAACATTAATGGTATGCTAGGAAAACATGTCCTGGCAGAGCAAGGTGTCACTGCCTGAAAAACCCACGGTCCCATCGGCAGTTGTGCCAGCGGGTGCAGCCTGCCCCGCATGTCCATTGGCACTAGATCCTCCTGGAAGTTGGTATCACCACACTAGCTAAGTTCATGCCAAGTTCAGTGCCCCCCGGTGCCCTCTGGCTGCTTTTTAGCTTTCCTCTTATTCGGTTCCACTAGGAGCCCTGCCTTCCTTCACCAGACTCCCGAAGTTGCAGCCAGCTCCAGATGAGGACAGCAAGCAGCACTTTCTGTAATGGGCTGCGTTAGATGTCTAAGCACAAACATTCGCCCCTAACCCACAATGCCTTTAAATCCACTGTGCGTGAGCAAGCCACTTCTGGCAACACCCAAAATGTTGAAGCACCTTTGTGTGATCTCAAGGGCCTGATCCACAGGTCTCTATTTTAGCATCTGGAGCATGACCCATGCGCGATCACCCATTTGGAAGGGCTTGTCAGAGGGCACTGGCAAACTGGCAGAGTCTCAACTAGGCAAGGCCACTGAGGTTCATACTCACTTCTTAACAGGAGAACTATGAAGTCAGTTACAGTTCGTCCTGGAGGCTGAACATTTGCAACCTCGTTATCGAGACGTGTACTTCAACAGGTGACCCCAGCTGCTTGACGCGGCAGGTAAAGCTTCCCCGCTTCCCCTTCCTGTGTCCTTGCACTTCCTACATTCCTGAAGGTCAACCCCACCAGAGACAAGCAGCTCTCCCAGCGGATGCAGCCTCGGCATGGTGCGCCCAACCTGAATACAAGGTAAGCTTACACTGGGGGAGGCTTCCTAGCTTTGTTCTTGCCTGTTCCGGAGAGGATTTCCAAAGGCTTCCATGGCTGCATGCAGGTGGATTTCTCTACTGTGGCGAACGGGCACGCCTCCAATGGTTTCCATGGAAGAGTGACCAGTGCTGGCACTTTTCATGCACGGACACCTTGCAGGGATGCAAAACAAGGCCAGCAAGTCATACCTTCATGCACCCAATTTTAGAGAGCAGGTACAATCAGGCCGCCTTCAAGCCTTTTCCCTATGTCATTTCATTAATGCAAGAAAGCAAAAGGACATTATTTTTCCATTTTGCATCAAACGTCTAAGGCTGCAACTCCACAATACCCTGCCACTTGGATGGTCACTGATCTCTTACTTCCATGAGTTAGCCTCAAAAGAGTTGGGTAAACATTGTGCCTTATGGTGCTTGTCCTTTTACATGCAGCGTTTCTGCCAAAACAAGTGAACTTCAGCCTTCTTGATGCTTTGCACTTTTCTGTCTAATCCTATTAGAAGTATCCAAAAACAAGATCTAGAATTTACACTGGGGCCGGTCATGAATTTTCCACTCATTAGTCTCAAAAGACAGGACACTGAGCCAGGGGAGTGCTTAGTCCACTTGAGAAAGCCTTTTTTCCTCCAAAATACAAAACCAAACCCTGCCCATTCGTCAAGTCTCAAGGCAGGTATCAATGCACTGACCTGTATATCAAGCAAGGAATAAACAGCTAAGCCTGCAGATCACAACAGAGCTTCTACTTCTGAACTGTGATTGTTTTTCCTAAGAAGGTTAAGAGACTATTAATGAAACTTGGGTGTTCAGCATGTAAAAACTTAAATTACAGCAAAGTGAAAATGTTGCTGGACTAAAACTGGGGAAGGTGCCTCCAAGTGGGGAATCAAGCACAAAGTTTTTTGTATAGCTCTGCCTCAAAACAGCGAGCAGTACCCCATTTTTGGACAACTCTTCCATTTTTCTGTGTCTGAATACCAAGCACTTTTACTCTGAGGGCTATCCTAGTGATCTTTCAATGAGGCCTATTTGGAAATCAGGTTAACAACCCAATCCTAACCTGAATCTTGCCTTCAGCGGGATTCATTGACCTAGTTCATACGCAACAGCAAGTGCTAGATTAATTAACAACAAACCATGGGGCTGTTTAGCCCCTATATGTGCAAACCAGGCCATTACCTCCTAAGTACGTACAGGATCATAACCTTACACTACAAATTTGGGAGTAACTCCTCTTGAACTGGATGGAATTTCTGAGTGGATAGGAGCCGATTCAGGCAGCAAATAAAAACAACTGAACTTCCTTGCAAGTCAGAGTTCTCATAATTTGTAGGCCATCCTTTCCTTCTAAGTATGCTCAGTGCACCTACATGCACGGCCATGATCCAGAGAAAAGCTAGTTGTGCTTATACTCATCACTGAAAGCAACGTGTTACTTCAGACTCAGCTGCCACATCGATCTCAAAGGGTGCCACGTTTGTTTAACTGCAGCTGGACCAAACTCAGTGTGCTCCGAGTCTGGCTGTGAACCCCTTTAGACTAGAACTGTCAATGGACTATTTTGCCAAATTAATCTGATAGTGCTTCTGCAACTCTGGTCATCACATGCACGTCTGTGTGCAAAACAACCCCCTCCGTTCATTCCAAAGATGGGCAGGGCAGTCTTTTGCAGCTGTACTTACATGCAAAGGTGAAAGCACATCCAAAAAGCTTTGAGGAGAGAGACTACTCCGTGCAGAGCCAAGGGTTACTGTGAAGAAAGGCATAGATACAGAAAGGAAAAGCAAGTGCAGTAATCAGTAAACTAAACAAGGTCCAGGGAGTGGCGAAGGCAGGGGTTTCACAGTTATTTGTTAGTGCCCTGATGCAGCTAAAGGACAGAGGCCGCCTTCCGCATATGCATCAGGACCGGGGGCTGCAAACCTGATACATATCCATAGGCACATTGGAATCTAAGTCTGTACCGACCTTGCAGTGGGATGTGCATTCACACACACACACACACACAGTTTAGGCACAAATTTTTAAAAAGCTGGTTGGGAGTGGAGTTGGGTCAGCCAATTACCATAATAGCCACTTACCTACTCACCAGGGATGACTATGGACTGACTCCAGATGAGCAGGGATGGAAGCTTTTGTAGAGTGAATACAGAGGGGTTCTTTTTGCGGGTGGGAGGTCAGGGGTTTGATGTCTCACTACAGCTTGTCCCAGGAATATGTGAGCAGGTGTGCCTGGGTTTGTGAGTCTGTCTGTGTTTGGCAAGTCGGTCAGCTCCACTGCCTCTCTCCCAGACCACACAAACACAAACACACATCCTGTTCAGAGTGTTAGCACAGTCGGTTTCTCCTTGCTGTTTGACAGGATGCCACCAGTGCCCAACTGACCAACTAGTTACGCGTGAGAGAAGCTCACACGGGCTGCTCATCTTTCCTCCATGACCAGAATTAATGTGGGAATTAGGCGAAGCTTAGAAAGCACCTGGAGTGTCTCTCAGAAGGGGTCTCTTCAACTGAGCAAGAAGACAGAGCTGACAAACTAAGCAGGCGCAAAAGCCAATTAAGAACTGGACACGTACAGACACGGCTCGTGGAAGCACACAGCACAAGCATTCAAGCTTCAGGAAACTTGAACATATATTCAGACAATAAGCTGCAGCAGCACGAGGTGGAGGAAACTGGCTCCTTCCCTCTAGGCCAGGAGGATTTGAGGGCTGGTTGAGAAGTGTGCTCAGTTTTATTTGGTCTGCTGTGAATGGCGGCCGTGCTTGGATCAGCTGCCACACCTGCAGTTCAGCAGGGCCCAAGTCTGTCTTTTGCCACTTTGCCTCCACCTTGGGGCAGGGCCATGTTTAGGCACTGGAGGGGCAACGTCCCCTTCTCCATTCATAAGAGCCAGGGAAGGAAAAGAAAAACCCAGAAGAACCAAGACCAGCAGGTGAAAGGTGAGCCAGTATGGCTTGAAAGAAAAAAGTACTTTCAAAGGTGAAAGGGAAAGGAGAGCACGGAGGCAGGAGAAGGAGGTAATGGGCTGCGCCTCAGCAGTAGAAGAAGCGATCCAAGAGTCAGAGGGTTAATGGGGGTCGCTGCTTCTTGGAATGGACCCAAAAGGAAAAGCTCCTGTCCAGCACAGGAAAATGCAAGCAGTTAAACATGTTAAGTCAGTTACACAGCGCGAAAAGAGAAAAATTAGGAGGAGATTTCTTACGGATGATACCGTATTTGTGTATCTGTCCTTGCAGCTGGCACATGTTGTTTCAAGGTGTTAAAAGTGGAGGGCGTCCTGACAAGCCCATTCTCTCACAACTCTGCACTGCCCCTGAAACTATTCGAAATAGGTTTTTAACTGCCCCAACTGTCCAGGCTCCGCCTTCTCCCAAGAAATGGAGAAAGGCAGTTTACACTAGGGCGCCTGGAGTGCTGCAAGGGGTTCGTTCCGTGCCCAGAGTTCCCCAGGGTTTGGGAAGCTGCGCTGGCTCGCACCATCACTTCATCATTCACCTGGATGGCCCAATGTTGCTGTAACCTAAAAAAAAACTCTCCAGAAAAAGCCAGGCTTCCGTAACGCTCTCACTTTCTGCCAGGTCCAGCACATTCCTGAAGCTATGCTTGCTTCTACTTACGTATCAAGCTTTCTTCGTGCAGATCTGGAAAAGGGCATTCTCGGTATTACAGAGCCATGGTTTTACCTGCCTGGACACACCTGCACCAGTCCTGACTCTCAGATCAGTACACCTGCATGCGTGTGTTGCCAAACACCCACCTGATAATTCCGCCATATGCTCCTTATTCTTGCACGCATCTAGGAAGGCACACAATTCTGTTTAATTAAGATTAGGCAACAAATTACAGCAAGATAGGTCATCATACCTTTAAGCCCTAAGCCCAGAAATGAATCTCACTTCCCCAGGTCAGAATAAATGGTGTTTAATCCCTGAAAGGCACAAGTAGCCAGGGGGGAAAAAGGCTTACAACTCCAGCATGCCCAAACCAGACCAGGAGTTGTAGACCGTTTTTCTGGCTATATGTGCATAGGATTGTGTATTCTGTAATTCCTCGGTTGTGGAGAGTCTACCTTCTAGGGAGGTTTCTACTATTCCTCCTAAGGGCTCCTTTACGACAAGATGCTTAGGGGAGGCAGCCCTGCCTCTGCCAAACACGCGCTCCTCTGGTTTAGGATGCAACGATGCATTTGTTAGCTGCATCACATTGTAGAGAAGTTGGGTTAAAGATGAACCGAGCAGGCCTTCGGCATGTTAAGATGGGAAGCACCCAGGAAGGACAAAAGCCATCATGCATGTGAGAAACTGTGTAAGGTCAGTGAATGGCACAGAAAAATCCCTCAGTGGTTGGAGTTCTGTAAATTGGCAACAACTGCGGGAAGAAACTCTCAGTTCTGTAGAACTAGCAGGGAAGGGCACAACAGGGCGGTGGAAGAACCGCCACACAATTACTCGGGCTTCTCCACAAAACGCATGTATTGCGCACTCCTGGTTCCTCAACTGCAGGGACTTTCCAAAGTGTTGTTCTCCTCCAGGGCCCCTCTTGTGTTTCCCAATCATTTTTGTGGATTTTTTTTAAGAGAGGGGAAAGGGCAGTGTTAAATTCCAAATCAGAACAGACCAGCATGAAAGCCTCGCGTAAAATCAAATCCAGACTCCAGGGAAAACCTCGGGTCAAGGACAACTTTGGGGATGAAAAGGGAAGAAGCCCAGGTAAGGATGTGTTTAACTCATCGTGCAAGGAATCCCTCAGACTGTTATTCCAAGGCAGGGGCAGAAGTGCAGTCCAGCCCAGTGAGAGCTGGCTGCCCATTTTTTGCAGCGAGCTGTGCAAAAATAGCATTTGGGTCAGGTTTCAAATCACAGCCATCCTGCCTCCGAGAGGCTGGGAGCAGCAGCAGCATCCCTCTGTCCAACTCTGTTTTGCTTGTTCTAGGACACCAATAACCCTATATGCTATGGAGTCTGTCACTGCCCCCAAGATTTTGAAAGGGATAGGCTCAGGATCAGGACTTGGTCATCTTAACTCAATTTTCACCTGACCCAGTAATCTTTTAAGCAACGATAAAAGGGTTAAATTAAAAAACAAGTTCGCCAAAATCCAAAATTCACAGTGGGGCAATACCTTTATGAAAACCAACCAAAATTCTACAAAAATGTGCAAGCTTTTGAGTTCTCCAGAACACTTCATCATGCCTGATGAAGCGTTCTGGTGAATACAAAAGCTCACAGTTCTGTGGAATGCTGGGTGGGAAATAGGTTATGTTACTAATAGAGATAATCATGGATATCTCTAGAGAAATGCTGTAGTTCTCTTCTGCTGGATCTTCACATTACCAGTATGGTTTCTCAGAGTGCTTAATTCATACACCTGTGTGCTCCTGTTGTATCTTGGACATGTGCTGCCTCCGTTACTGCTAGAAAATTGTTACAGATTTTTGGTACAAAAAGGCTACCTACAGTGAACCAGTGCAGTACAAATGGAGAGCACTATACATAGAGCTAAAATTCTCATTTGTGGTTATTTGTGTCCCCCATATGAATGATGTGGCTCAGGTCCTAATCCAAGGAAACACACAGCAATATGTATGTGTATGTAAGATCTTCTAAGGTTTCAACCTAAACAGTGGCCCCTCTTTCCTAAAACTTATTCTGAAGGATAAGCAAGGCATGATCCAGGTCTGGAAAAAAATTCCCATTGATTTCAATAGGAGAAAAAGAGGGATACGTACTTTGGAGAGCAATCCTTGATGTATCCTGGCTGGGCTCAATGGTATTCCCTTTCAGATAAGTTTGCACAGCAGGGGTAGGGAGCCCCCAGTGCTCCCCAAATTCTGTCAGATAAAATCAAAATGGGGGTGCTGGCACGGTGTTCTGCAGCTGGTGGAGACCCCACATTTAATTTAAAAAAAAAAGTTTTGTTTCCCCCTGCCCGTGGGTGGGAATATATGCAACCTGCATGGGGGGGGGGGTGCCGAGGAGGCAAAAAGCCCCCTATACCCCTGTATTTGCCCATGCCTGCTCTAGAGGATTGCAGCCAAATTCTCCCAGTAAAATCACTGGTTCCTTAATGCGTTTAACTGGGTCATGCCTTCAATTTGCAGTGCATTGTTGCAGAAGTGAGGTGGAAATTGCCATCCCAAATATTAAAAATGGTGTGTGAGCAGCCCTGTTTTCATGCCTTTCAAAGGGCTTTCTGGCACCATGAACCCAAGCGTGATGCACAAACAAAACCCCAGTTAAAACTGTTCCAACAGAGTTCTTGCTCCCCTTGCAAAGAATTTTACCATTTCTGTTCTCCTGAGAACCCCAATAAAGCCCAAATGCCAGACACCCCCTGCTTCGCCCACCCGCCCCATGATTATTGAGTTAATAATAAGGATTTGTCTTTAAAAGAAATATATATATATATATATAAGATGGCTGAGACACATTACTGCAAAAGCAGGGGAATGCAGGAAGATCCTTTGACTTGGCGGGCTTTATGTGAAGCTTGAACTGCAAATTAAAAAACAAAAATGAGAACAGAAATGTTAGAAATAATAGCAACTCAAAAAGAAAGGAAAAAATAAAGACGGGAGGGAGAGAAAGTCAAGCAAGCTGAAAACAGCTTCTTGCTTCATGGTAAAGGCTCATGCAAAGGGATGATTATGGAATGAAAAAAAAAACCTTTTAACACTTAAAATCCATGCTAATCTACATTGTGTTTAAAGCAAAAACATGTAGCAGCAAAGATACACGAAGACAAACCAAAGCTGCATAGCATTTTTTAAATTTTGGGATCTGTCTTGGCAAAGCAGGGGGACCTAAAGACAAGCTGCTTGCCTTGACTGGCCAGTAAATGCAATTAACCAATTAAAGTTCCTGTTCTGAGCTTGACGCAATCCGTCTACCAGTTCATCTACCTGCCTATCTGACTGGCCTAGGGAATGCCCATAGCTCAGTGGTAAAGCGTAAACCTTACGTGCTGAAAAGGGCCCTGTTTCAGTCCCTGGCATCTTCAGTCTGAAATCCTGGAGAACGATCAACAGTGAAAGCAGTGAAGCCCAACAGGGCGACGAGAAAAGCTTTCCCCAGTGTTGCTCCGGGGAAGGATGCCAGGGAGTGGAACTGGAGTCTTCTCCATGCAAATCACATGCCCTGCTTCTGAGCGTCAAGTCCCCCTGAAACCAGCAGTAGGGTGGGCAGCATCAGCCCTTCATTCAAGGGGAGCAGACCTCATGCGCAGAAAAACACAAGCGCACCGTGCTTCCCCCTCCTGGGACAAGGGCAAAAGCTGTGCAAAAGAAAGGAAGCCCAGCATTCACTGGACAGATGGGAAGATAAACCTAAACCTGCAGTTGGGGAAGCATCCTGTGTACGTGCTGTATTTTGAATGGAGTATCTCAGGCAACACTGGGACAACTCAGGCGCCGGGTGGCTTGGGAGAGCTCTTCAGCAATGCACATCCAATAACCCCCAGGATTAAGCAAGCTTGTGTTACGCTCATCTCACATGCAGTTGTCAGAGGATGCAGCTTTTTACGAACCGTAGCAGGGTATCTGGTTTCAATGCTCAGGGAAAGGCTCCCAGTAAATGGAAAACTAGCATGCCAAGCAGAAGAGGTCCTTTCTCCCAGATATGCTAGCTTTCTATGTGCAAGGACTCCCCCAGCCTAACCATGTTTTCAACATTAAAAAACTATGTGTGCCAAGAAACTAAATTAAATGTCATACATAGGTATGGGCAACAGGTTTTTTTTCCCCATCAAAGGCTGCCTTCTGTTGGAGACTGAATGCTCCAGTAGAATGCTTTTCTCTCCTTTTTGCCATTTTCTTTTCCCTCCTTCCCTCTTCTTCCCGATCAGACTGCCAGGGGCCTGAACTGATCACCTGCAGAGGGCATTCAAAGCAGGAAAAAGTTGCTCCCTTGTCTTAAAGGAATAGAAGCCTTCTGTTTCCAGCAGGGCCAAACAGAAGACAACCTGCGAGGCCCAGAAGACTGCAGGTGGCAGAGAAAGTTCTGGAAAGGGGCACAGACATTCTCTGTGCAACCTTGGAAGCCCTGTAGGTGTTTGCTAAGATTGGCAACCAAACAGCTAACTGGACCATTCATCATAAGAAATGAAAAATTCCACCGCTTGACAGATTTCCACTGACTAGGCCTGTACTGGTTTATTCTAATTAAATCATGATTCCAAGGGAAACAATGAAGGATGGATGGATGGATGGATGGATGGAAGAGAGCTCCAAAAGAAATATCTGAGACAAGCAAATCTGATCAAATATGTAAGGAAAAGGCGAGTACTGCCAGTCCAGAATTATATCTGGATTTATCCTTTCCAACTCTGTGTGTTCACAGTGCTGCCGTTCCATGAATCAGAAATAACTGCATTATTCATAATACCTGGATGTCTTCTGAAGCATTGAAGAATGATTAATGAATAATTATTAGGATTTAAAACATTCTTCATCACAGTTATGAGAAATCTATGAAGAATATTAAAAGTGAAAATATCCACTGTAGTGTGAACAACAAAAACTGAACGCAAATCCAAACTAAGTGTCTTAGAACAAAAAGAAAGAATTTCTGGATTTCGGTTGGCATTTCTCCCCAATCCTAGCCCCTAAACTGTTGCCCTTACAGAAACCATAAAACCCTCACTGGATCAGACCCAAAGACTAACTGGGTCAGGGCATCTATTTCAGAACCCTGTTCCCATATTTGCCTAAAAGGTTCCTCCAGGAACTAATCCAGCAGAATCTACAGTTCTTCCCATATGGCCTTTCCTATGGCCTTTCCTATGGAAATTTCTACCAAAATTGAGGAATGCACAGACCTAAATCCCACAAGTGCCTTCTTCCACTGTCAAACCAAAATTGTATATATTTCAAGCCGGCAATTATCTTTTCTACTGAACCATGGTAGTTCTGCATACTTACTAAAACCAAGAAGCAGAAAGCACATTATGTCAAACAGTAAAGGTAGGATCTGTGTGCTTCCCATGGGGTATATCCCTCACCTGGCCCCTGTACACGCTACCTTTGCTGTCTTGCATTCCACTGTTTCCGCCATAGGAGCTGGAGGTGTACACTCTTCTGGCGAACCTGGACCACCACAGACTTATGGGTCACAGAACACACCTGAAGCTCTCTTGCACTGGGCCAGACCCGTAGTCCATCCATCCCAGTATTATTAACACTGGCAGGCAGCAATGGATCTTAAGGATTTCAGGGTTTTTTCCAGCCCTACCTGGGACCCTCTGCTAGGGATACATGGCCCCCTCCCTAGTTAGGGGCTGTTACCTGCTCCAACTGGACTGGAGAGACATACCTGTTTGAAGCCCATTGGGTCATTGGTCCACCTAGCCCAGAATTGCTTACTCCAAGGTCACAAGCAGATGGTCTTTCCTGGCCCCATTCTACGAAACCCTCTAACTGGAGGCTGGAGCTTGAAGGCTTTGTTTGCAAAGTGCATCCTTCCCAAACCGTGAAGCCTGCGGTGTTCTGGGAACAGCTGTTCTGCCCCATACTCCACATGTAGGAAAGTTCCAGGCACCAAAATTTATGCACCAGCTTTCCAGCCCACCGAGTTTAATGTAATAAAGTCATAATGCATGCACAGCAGAGGTTAGCCTGCCATCAGCTGACGCAATAGCATAGTTGTGCCATCGCAGTTTTGGTACCAAGACAAAACCAAACCCTTACCTAGGCAAACTGGAGCGTGTGTTAGAGGGCAGAAACAAAACAAAAACACTTTTAAAGGCAGCCATCCAGCCTAGACTGCAACACACACACACACACACACACACACAACCTTTTCTCACTTTTCTGCTTAAACTTTCACATCCAATGTTAAGCGAAAATTAAAAGGCACTTCGGAGCACTGTCAGTCCCTACAGAGACGGAGGATTCTCAGAGAAAAGGGCCGCCTCTGCAAGAAATGTTTTCTTCAGAAAAGCACATACAGCCCATCTCTGGTGTGTGTATGAGGAATATTCTGCCAGTGCTTTGCACCTGCCTTGAAACCTCTTATGCCAAAGCTGGGAACCCTCTTGAGGATGAAGATTGGCAAGGACTAAGAAACTTCTGAATCATGCAAGCACCATGTCAACTTCTAGGAAGCTGGCTACAGATCAGTACCTTCTGCCATTGTACACACAGTGTGTATGCAAAAGTAAGGCTTATCTCCCCACTGCTTGGCATAACATGCATATACAGCGGTGACACACCAGTCAAAGCGTGTAAGGATTTGGCCGAGTTTAAAGCAGCTTTGAATAATCCGTGTGCAAAGCCCATCTTTTGTTTGGAGGCTGCAGTAACAGGCCACAGCCATGTGGGGGAGCTCTAGACGTATCCATGGATGAGAAGATGCCTTTCCCGAAAGGCTTTGCAACCCGCTAGAAAAGCTGCAAAATAACCTTGATGCTGTCATCTTGCCTCCACCTTCATCTTAAAAAGACTTACACTTTTTATTGTTGGAGGGGAAAAATCCTGGTATGTGTCAACACAGCCTGATGCTGCGGCGGTCCCCATCCATCACAGAGAGATCTCCTCTTTCTGGGTGCCTGGTAGACTATGATTTTCCCAAACTTTATTTCTTGGGATGCTTTTCTGGCACCACTGCCTGGTCTCATTCGTAGAATTTTACAGGCAGTCCTGAGGATGACTTCCCCTCAATACCTTCCCACGTTTTCTGCTGCACTGCATCATCAGTCTGCTGATAGGAAGCACCCTGGAAAGCTTTTGGGAATGCCTTCATTAATTTGCACAGAATACTATGTCCAGGTTTGAGACCTTTCCCCCAGGGTCTCTCTATTACTTCTCCTGAGGAGGATGCTTTTCCCATGGCTGCAGCTTCTCCCTTATCCCCAAAATACTATGTTTATTTTTATTTTTTTCAGCATCTGGGCCCTGACGGCAGAGGGTCGATGCAAGTAAAGCACCTGCAATGGTGCTTACTTTGCATCACACCTTCGGAGTGGGCGGCTGAGCCTCCTTAACGCAATACCTGTGCTGCTCTCACAAAACCTACCTAGGAGCACACGGAAAAGTAGGCAACCTCCCGTTTAGGTTTGTAAGTTAGACATCCAAGCCAGATTGTATCATTTTTGTTATTGCCCAGCTTATAAGATTTAACCGGCACAGCTCCCACATGTGGCTCAGCAAGAAAATAGGAATGCAGGAAAACAACTTTTGCTTTGAGAGGGAGAAGGTAATGCCAGATAATACAGCACTGCTGTATGATATACGGGAATCGGTTGATCCAGGAAACAGCGACTGGGTTCCGCCAACATGTTAACTCACATTCAACAGTTGAGTATGGGTTGAGTGTGGCTTGTTGTTGAACCATGGCTTGTTAAAGTATGGGCTCTTCTATTATCTGAACCCAGGAACTACAGCACTGACAAACCAGGGTTAACAACCCCTTAATTCATGACACAACAAATCACGAGTTCTTTTCACAGGTTGTTTGAGGTTAACAAGCTATGGATTTTTACTTTAGAACAGTGGTTTTCAACTGCTGGTCCACAGACTGGCACCGGTCCGCCAGCATTTTCTCCCAGTCCATGAAAGAGCATCTCCCTTTCCTGGACCAGCGCGTTGCTGATTCCCCACCTCTTCTTCAGCCAAGGAGGCTGGGGAGCCAGCTGGGAGCTGCACCATGCCAGTCCGCCCTCTGGGTGGGACCCCCAAAGACCGGACCTTTCTCTGCTGTGTTTTCTCCCAGGAAGAGAAATGCTGAGGCGGGATTGTGCCGAGAGTGTTTTCTCAGCCAGTCTGTGCTGGTATGTAAGGGGGCTTGAGTGGTGGGGTTCTCTGTATTTCATTATTTAACATATCTGAATTTGTGTTTGCTATGAGCATATTATTGCATTTATATTGATTTTGTATTTTGTTATTTTAAATTTTTGATCAAGGCTTGAAAAGAAGCAACAGCAGATTTTCCGGTAGTCTTATGTGAATTAAATATTGCACTCTAAAAATTTCAGTTTTATTCAATTGCATTTAATTTCATTATTTCAATCTTTTATTAGCAAGTTTTACTGCTCATTTTCTGGTTATTTTAGTGAATTTCCCTTTTTTGTTGTTATATGTAAAAACTAATACACAAAATACTATATTCTGTATATAATGCTTTAAAATTCTGCTTTCATGGTCCCTGAAATAATTTTCCTATTTTTCCCAGTCCCCAACTGTAAAAAGGTTGAAAACCACTGCTTTAGACTACACAACAACCTATATTTCAGCAATGACACCGTTCAACAAGAACCCACACTCAATCCATACTTGGCTCTTGACTTGGTTTATCTTCTTCTCTGCAACTGCTCAAGATGCCACTGCAACGACTTTTTCTTGCTCAGGGATCATTTAAAAGCTTTTCCATGCCAAAGCTCCACCCTGGGAGATGTGATGTAATAGTAGGGAAATGTTTCTGAACATGTGCAGAGTGCTTATTCTTTATCACTGAAGAGCTGCCACCAGTCATATATACATGGCTTTCGGAGAAAAGACACCCAAATCTGAAAATGATCCCCACGTAAGGTTGATTGCCAACTCCTCGTTTTAGAAACCAAGTGCCTACCAAACTCTAAATCCATCAGGAAATTCTCCTCTGTGGGTCTTTTAATGCCCGGGAGATGCATGAGGACCCCACAGGATTGTTTGTTGGTCTGCATTCGTGCCCCATAACAGTCCCAGAATGAAAGGGGAGTAGCAAACAGGTTGAAAATGGCCCAAGGTGCTGGAAACGTGCAGCACTGGGTCAACATTTTCCAAGGTAAAATATTCTCCTACAGTGATGTTCTTCTTTGTGCAATTGCCCCTGAAGATGAAGCTTCCTCCCCTAGGCTAAGCAATCATTATAATGGATGCGAAGAAGAAATATATTTTAACTAGCAAAAAATAAAATAAAAAATAGTGTTTCTTCCATGTAAAGACAGCTTCATCAAAAATAGTCACTCTTTCAAAAGTTCTTCAATTTAAAAAATAATAATAAAATCTACATATCGGCTTGTTTGCTTATTTTTCCCAGAGGTAAGCATAGCGAGTCACAAGAGCGATTCATACGGACCATACTCTGTTCTTTTTGCAAATTGCAAACTCAAACTTTTATTATGGCAGAGAGGTAGCCACATTAAGGCACAATCCTATGCCTGTTAAACAAAAAGTCCTGAAGCTCCCAGCATTCCCCATCCATTCATCTGGTCAGGGAATGCTGGGAACTGTAGGCCTTATTCTGTCTAAATAGGCATACGAATGCATCCTCAGTCACCTGTAGCAAAGCAACAGTCTCGTGATGCCTTAGGGCACAATCCTTTGACTATTTAGACAGAAAACTCCCAGTGTTTGCCAGTCAGCCCATGACTAAAGTGTCTTGCTGTATAAGCTTTCATGAGCTGATGCAGACTTCAATGAATACATACGGTTGCCCATATCTGTACTTCATGGAAAGGTGGCCGATCGTCCGTCTTCCCTTGTATTTCCTGATTTTTGTCCCCACATTTTACAAGCTTGGTTGCCTCCCCCTGTATCATGAGCTATTATACATTTGACAGAATGGGCCCTGAACCACACAAGCTTGTGTTCCCCATCAGCAACCCTCAAAACCATTTGTCTTGAAGCTGCCACATGTTTCTGTTTCAGCAGAAACCAAGCTTAACCAGGATGCAGGACGACTAAGGCAGGAAAGAGTGGCTATGAAGACAGCCTTTGGTGGATCCACCGCTCTTGCCAGAAGGGAGCTTCCACACCAAGAGCTCTATGGGTAATTGGCCTCTGAACCCAAGCACAGGCAGACATGTGCAGGGACGTGAGCCCCACCACGAATGCTGCTTGCTCAGACGACTAGAAGCTGCATCACAGAAGGGAGTGCCATCACACCTGAATTGGCAATAGTGCTCCCACCTTCTGCAACAAGCCGTACCTCTTTAATTAAATGCTTCCTGTTACACTTCCCCTTTGCCAGCAAACACTGTGCAACAGAACAAAGCTGCTTGGTACAAAGTAGGCACTGTTTAGGGGCCATGTTCCATCTTACATTTGGATGATGAGAGACTGTTTCCGTTCGACCCTGCCTTGCTTGCTACATGTTTACAAAGGTATAATGCAAAAGGCAAATACATGTTTGACTGTGTATTAAAATGATTCATACATCTGTCCACCAGGGCCCTCAGTAACATCTGAGTGGATGTCTCCTTTGTAATTCACCATTTTCAATATCTTTGGCAGTGGATTGCATGAAACCTCCCATGTCTCAAAAGCGTAACAGGGCCAAATGGTTTGGTGGGAAGCAAGACTGTTCAAAGTCCATTGTCCTGTCTGACATATTTGGTGACCTAGAGGCCACTGGTAGCCCCAGTGAGGTGGCGGAGTTTCCTTAGGGTGCTATGCATGCGTTGTGTAGCATGCACAGGTGCAGAAGCAGAAGAAAGCTGATTGAAACCCAGGAAACCACCAGAACACGGAAGGTGGGAAATCTTAACAGGGGTCCAGTGATCTACCCTAGGCTCAGAGGTCCTTCTGTAGAACCCTGGACACCTCTCAAGAGGCCAGAACCATGCCTGCAATGTTTTCCCCTTGCACTAAGACCAGCGTTGCGCAACGATGCTCCAAACGCTTTTCAAAAAGCCACTGTAGTGGGGAAACACCTTGCCCTTCAGTGCTTCACTGCATGTTTTCAAAACCCTTGGAAGAGCCACCTGTAGCTCAGAAGCCTGCGAATACACGGCACTGATGAGCATTCTCAGCTTCCACAGCCAGAGACGGCAAAGACTTCACTGCTCAGGACTCTCTTGCCGCACGGATGCTGGCAAGTTTCCAGTCGGTGTCATAACACAACTGCACTACAGCAGTGTTTTGATCTGGCTGTTCTGACCAGCTTCAGATATGGAACTGGCACTACACAAGTATGTTCACAACGTAACTAAAAATACTGCAAGCGCCAATGCCCACTTGCTCAGTTATTCAACTTTGGCACTAAGACGATCCATGCTGAAAATATCTCTGGCTGGTACAAATATAATCTTAGCTAGGGCATTAAATATAGGCGGATGTCTTGGGTGTTGCACTTTCCCCCCGCTTCTCTTTTTCATGTGTTTTAGGCTCCCTTACCTGTATATGTCAGGAAATTTTCAAGGTTCTCCTAACTTGACTTTGGAACCTAACAGAAGGATCCTCAGGCACAAAACTTACTCCTGACCCACAGTTAATGCCCAAGGTAACATTGCATTTGTACTAGTCCATCACGGGGTGGGTTTTACTCAATAACCACAGACTTTTAAAGCATCACTGAGAAAGACAAGGAAAACTCGACAGCTACAGATTTTGCTACAGCAGGAGAAATGCGTGGCCCCTGCAACGTCGGTTCAGCTAACTCTTGTATGGCTCACTTTCTGTATCCGCCTTCTATCTGTGCTCTTGCCTCTTTGAATGAACTAGTCAGCTTTGCAAAATACTATTTAGGTACCCTACATATAAAAAATAAAATCAAAGTCAAACTCCCTCCCCTCCCATCCCACTTGTCTCTTAGAAAAAATATCTTTTAAAAAAAATCAGCCTGGTTTTCGGGGGAAAAGAGGGGGAGGGAAGCCCAGTTTCCAGTCTGATAATGGGAAGAAGCAAATACAGACATGCAACAGAGGACAGTACACTGGAACAGAAGCCAAGAGAACTCGACCCAGGGCACCGGCTTACTTTTTCTTGTCCTTGTCTTTCTTGGTTTGCTGAGAGCCAGCCTGTTGGCTCTGTGACTGCAATAGCTGAGCTGCTGCTTTCTTCTTCTGGAAGTTGTTCAGCTCCTCCTCAAGCTCCTTCTTCTTGTCCTCTACCTTCTTCTTCTCTTCCTGGTGAGTCCGCTTTAGGAGATCAAACTTCTCGTGAAGCTGCCCAGAGAGAAGGGTGGGAACATGAAATGCACACAATTTTAACACAAAACTAGAGCAGGAACTCAAAGATGGGAAGGGACTCTGTGGGCTACTTCTAGGAATATTGTGGTGTGACACAGAAGTGTTCTCCATAGGCACAGAACAAAACAAGGTGTGGATGGCAGGCCAGCTTAAGTCCTGGGCATTGGCCATGCCTGGGATACATTCCCCCAGGTGCAATGTATGGCTGTGAAAGCTGGACCATAAGAAGGCTGAGCACCAAAGAATTGAGGCCTTTGCATTGTGGTGCTGGAGGAGACTCCTGAGAGTCCCTTGGACCGCAAGGCGATCAAACTGGTCAGTCCTAGAGGAGATCAACCCTGACTGCTCTTTAGAAGGCCAGATCCTGAAGATGAAACTCAAATACTTTGGCCACCTAATGAGAAGGAACAACTCATTGGAGAAGACCCTGATGCTGGGAATGATTGACAGCAAAAGGAGAAGGGGACAGCAGAGGATGAGGTGGCTGGATGGGGTCATTGGGGCAGTGGGTGTGGGCTTGGGTGGACTCTGGGGGATGGTGGAGGACAGGAAAGCCTGGAGGAATGTCGCCCACAGGGTCATGATGGGTCAGGCATGACTTTGCAACTCAACAACAGGATGCATTCCAAGAGCCATCCTGGACAGTGGAGCTCTGCTAAACAAGCAATGTCAGCCCGTGTCCTTTTTAAACCTACAGCATAAGCTCCAACAAGTGACCTCATCTGGATTAGCAATGCGTGAGGAATTTCTCTGGGGGTGGGAACCGATCAGATTCCCTGGGCTCGGCTCCCCAGGCTCTGGTCTGCTTTGCAATCACCCAGGTCAGGTTCCTGGCGAGGGCTCCCAGAACTCACCAGGAATTGAGCAAGAAGTGCACCTGGTACTCTTCTGCACCAGGTACCCCCACCGCCAGCTGCACTGGGTAGAACAGAAGGTTGGTCACTGGGAATGGGATCTGGTACACCTGCTCAGAGTGCCGGTCTTCAGCAGTAGCAGGGGACAAGGAAAAAGGTTGGCTGCCGGAAATGGTGCCTGGTGCACCCATTTACATTGCCCCTCTTCTGTGCCTGGTGCCACCACCGACAGGACCGGGCAGGGAGAAAGGCTCATGGCCGGGAATGGCACCTGGCGCACCTGCTCACAGCACCCCCTTCTGTGTCCTGCAGCAGCTCTTTGGTGGCTGCACCTGATGGGGAAGGTTGCTGGTTTTGGAACTGGGTGTCCAGGAGCATTCACAGACATCCTCTTGGCTCGGCACCCTTTGCAGGACCTGGCCGAGCCCAAGAGGATGCCCATGGATGCTGGAGGGACAGATCCTGAAGGGATTCATCCCAAGCACAGTCTGGATGCAGATCTGGCTGTACTTACCTGCCTCCTGGTCTGGCAGTCTCTTCCCAAACCTTGCAAAGAATGCAAGTGCCAAAAAGGAGGTGACAATCTGGCTTGTGTTCCCAAATCATTTTGGGAAACTCCATTGAGGATCCCAAACCAAACCCTTTAATTAGAGCTCTTTGTTCTAGGACCAACCCACTTACATCCTTTTCAGCTTCTTTCAGCTCTGCTTCTTTTTCCTTCACCCGCATAACAAACATTTGCCTCATTTCTTCTTCTTTTTTCTGGAGCTCGCCCAGGAATTCATTCCTCTTGGCTTCATAGGTCTCCTGCAGACTTGTGATCCAAGCACACCCCCCAGAAAAAGGGTGGTGGCAGAGGCAGTAGGGTTGGGGGAAGAAAGTGAAACCTCAAGTTAACACCAAGTGTGACTAGTTATCATTGGAGTAATGAAAACACTAAAAAGCTAAAACCTACAGTTTCTGTTAAGTCAACTAAGGCTGTGCTTAAACACAACACAACTCAGAACACAATTCTATGAATGGTTAGACAGAAAAAGTCCCACAGTTCCCAGTGGGCTGTATGCCAAGATGTGTAGGATTGTTGCTCCTTAAACATTGTTTTCTCTGATATTGCCATGAGGTGGAGATTGAAAGAATCCAATTCTATTTCAACTAATCACAGTTTACTGTTTCATCCAAACTGGGATAGACCATGGTTAGTTTTAACAATGATTTGCCCAAACAAGCCAAGTTTAAACTTTAGTTTATGATTCTGGCTTGTTTAGTTAAACAGGCTTAAAACTAACCTTACTTTCTGGTGCTTCTGATCTCCTGCTCTTTGCTACACTGGAAAAAGAGGGTGCAAAGCCAAGGGGATGATGCACATAACATTGAACTATGATTTAACCTTACATCTGAAGTAGGCCTGTGATGGCATACCACCAAACTGAACAGTTAATTGAATGAAATTAAAACTGTAGTTTATGAATGGTCCCTGGAAAGTCAGTTTTTCCACTTGAATTACATCAAGATGTTTTAATGCAATGGAAGTATTTGATTTATCGATCCTTTCACTCGTCTAGCTTAGTTTGTTCATAGTAGCTGTTCTAGGTTTATTCAACCATCATTTTGCTCCGTGCATGAGCACTGCTAGTTACCAGTTACATTTCAAGGAGCGCTCAAGGGTAGTCATCTTTGAAGTAACTATGAAGCTGATTTCAAACACTGGTGTGTTTCATAAACAATTGCAAACTTAAGTCACCCCTTCCTCTTTTATTTTGTCCTGGAATAAGCAACTTGTGTGAATGGATGCACTGCCAGGACTTCAGCTGTACAAAGCCAGAGGAGTTTCTCACCCTGCAAGCACATATCACAGGGGAGTGAATTCAGCTGTTATTAATGAGGATGCTTGGCTGTTGTGACCCCAAGCCGGGGTCTTTGGGTTGGTCTCTCTCGCATTCAGGCATGCACCTACCTTTTGGAGGGGGGCGCTAAAACAGCCCAATGCAGAATGCCCACTGAGGTGCAACAACCAATCAGAGTGTCTGGATTAACCTCCTGCTCAGCCCCAAATCTCACTGCGTGATCCCTTACTTTTGGCTGAGCTGTGGCTTGCCTTGCAGTGTTATCGGAAGGGTAAAACGTTGACTTTCAACTAGGCAGTGACCTAATACCAAACTGCTGGGCTGGAGTCCATCCAGACCAACCTATTTTGGCTGGGAAGAACAGCTTCATGGGGCTTCAGGAAGAAGAGACTTCTCATCCCCCGCTCCTTGGTGGTGCCAAAGACTAAACTTGGGACCTTCGCCATGTGAATGTCCTACTGCCATATCCACAGGTGTGAACTCCTTGGAGGGAGGTGGGAAAAACATTCAATGGATGTCCACCCCAAGTAGCACAGCTGTAGCACGGAAGCACCACAAAGTCCTTCTTAGCATGGGCGCCATAGAAGCTTCTTTAGAAGCAGGGCAGAAGCACAGAAGGTCCAGTCTTACTGTTCCACAGTGATGTGAAGCTCTCCTTCTCCTCAGTATCCTTCTCTCCTCAACACACTCAGCCAAGAATTCTCCAAGTTTCCTGCTGGCACTGCTTCAGTTTTTGCTTTCTTTAGAACAGCCTTCCTAGTCTAGTCACCTTCCAATGTGTTGGGCTACAACCCCTAGAATCCCCCGAGCACCCGCACAAAGTAACAGAAGACGCTGCTAATTTCTCACAACCATATCACAGACTTGCCAAGGGGTTCACTTAAATTTCTGCAGTACTGAGAAAGTATCTAGTTTCTGTTGCTCTTTCTTTGCCACGTCCCTTGTAGAGAAAACAGTTTCTCATCTAGCTTGGTTTAGGAGTTTACAGAATGCTTACTGCTCCCTGTCAGAAAAGATCGCAAGCCTGGCCTGAAATATTACACGTCTGCAGTTCATTGGCAGGGTGGCTGTGGGGAGAGTCAAGTCTATTTGCTGACTTGCAAATAAGACAAGCAGAACAAATCCTAAACGATGGTTCCTTGTTATCTCTGTTCTCCACTTTCTCTTTGGAAACTGTCATCTCTTTTGGCAAAGACTAACTGCCCCAGGTTCTATCCAGGAGTCTACCTCTTAGCTCTAGGCCCTAGAGTCTAGGGTCAGATTTGTTAATGGAGAAGCTCTGGGGAAGAAACTTTCTGTTAGTGGGCAGGGCCAAAATACTGAAAATGCCGGCCTATTTTAACTTGAAGTTCTTACTGACAGCAACTAAGCCTTCAAAGAGGTGTCCCAGCCTTTAGGAGTGGGGAATAACCAGGGTGAGACCCATGAAATTCACAAACGATCAGAAGTCAAGGTAGTGGCCATCTTCAGGACCAGACTGGGACCCCAGGTAGACCGAGTTTGGCCCCTGGCCTTGTGGTTCAACACCTCTGCTCTATCCTATGACCCCTTTGTTAATATTTTTCATTAGAGCCATCAAGCGGAGGCCATTCTGAACTACTCCAAAAGCCAATTATCACAAACATGGAGGCGAAGCAGCTGCCCACAGGATCGCTCAAGCAGGATGGGGGCAAGGCCTCCTCCTGCCCAGCTCCTCAGCAACTGGTGCATGCAGGCAGGCCACCTCGGGTGGAGGAGGAAGCCCATGGCCAGCAGGGCTAGCAGCCTTCTCCATGCATCTGTCCAATCCCTTTTTACAGCCATCCAGACTGGTGGCCATCACCACTTCCCGTGGCAGTGATAACGCGAATACAGCAACCTGCACTGCGGAGAAGTGTTGAAAAATACTATGTCTATAAGAAGCTGATTAGATACGGGCTATTTCAGCAGCAGCCCAACAGGAACCAGGCTTCTGGCTCCAGACCAGGACTGCCAAGCATTGCTTGGCAAGCTGTGAGGAGAACCTGCTCAGCCACATGGACGGAGGGGAAACAGGAGAAGGGAGGTGGGGAGGCGAACCCAACAGCATCTGCCACTTGGTTAGTGCGGAACACCCGTGCAGGAGCCAAGCGAGCGTTGGGGGATGAAAGCAGAAAAGACTCATGGGCAGAAGGCGTGCGACCCCGACTTTTTAAATCACACTTCAGTCCTCCGTTTGCAGAATTCAACAGATGGGTTGTTTAACAACAGGTTCTGGTGAAGATGGAGGGGGACAAGTCAACGCTATTTGAGATCGTGAAAGAAAAGAGGGTGACTCATTCATGGCCATTTGCCCTGTTCCTGTTCAATAGTCAGAAATGTCTGTGGCTGATCAGAAAGGGAACCTTTTGCTCACTCCCTCTCTCTCCCGCTCTCAGTCTCTTTCTCAGGCCACAAATGGACTACTTAGACCTCCGTACAAAAGCTGACTAGTAAGAAGTCCCTCCCTTTGTGACCGAATGACAGGGTGGGTTGTCCTGCTATCCAAACTTAGACCGCTTCCCACAAGGTGGCTTATTTTGGGGGCATAAGTCAACCTGGGAACCCATGGTTTTTTCTGAGGGTTGATCAACCCACTATTGGTTGCTGTGTCATCTGGACTGGCAAGATCAATTCCACTGTGGGTCGCAAAGATAGAAGATAGCAAAACATGCGGTCACTTTTCATGATCTCACCACCAGTGGCAGCCAAAGAGGCGCTTTGGAGCAAACATCACTAATTCCCCACCACCTTTTCTTTTTCAGCCCCCCAAAAGTGCACAATTCTGTCTGCCTCTTTTAAATTATTGTAGGTTGTTGTTGTTGTTGTTGTTGTTTTAGATTTTTGCAGGTACTGAAGTGCACACTTAAACTGCCTAACAGGCATAATCTTGCCTTATAAGTTTCAGTTTTCAAAGCAAGTGGAATAGGCAACAAATTGACAATTCCAATCTGCAATTGACTGCAGATAAGGTAATTTGGGCACAGTACACAGCTTCCAATTGGCTAGCTGTAAACAGAAAAATAAAGTGGGGGAGAGCAGCAAAAGTATAAATAAAATAAAATAAAAATAAAATAAAGTAGGTACACCCAAAGGGGGTGGTGAAAATACCACCCTTTTAGCATTGCAACCCTCAAGCTTTTAGGGGTTGAACTGACAGCTCCCATGACCCACTCTCATTTCAACATTTCCCCAAGTTTCCAGCAACTGCACAAAGGGCAATTTGAAAAAATACAACCTGAGCTGCACTTTTCTGAAGCTCCTAAAAATAAACAAAAATAAGCAGCTAACAGAAAGCAGCAGTGATTGAAGTCAGGAGGGGGAGACAGAGTGGGTTCTGCCATCAAGGGCTGTGGGATACCGGTGGTGGGGGATGGGGGAGAAATCCCCAATAGGACTAATGATCTGTGTTGCAAATGACCCAGTAACTTTTGCAGAATTCTTTGCAACACTGCCGTACAGGCAGGCACATAAACTTATGTGCGCGCACACATGCACACAGCTAATAAAATATATTCCGGGCTGTGTACCTCACCTGGGGTTGCCAAGCAAGCAGAGAATTTGATCCCCAGTACAAAGATCATTGCCCTGCATATCTCAGCTGCTTCTCTTTCTCAGCTGAGTAGATTAAAGTTTGCAACATTCAAACATAATTTGGTGAGGTCTCTGAAGGTACAGAAAACTGCAAATAATCCACATTGTTCAAAAAACCTTTACAGCAAATCAATGCAAGGACCCATTCTAGAGGTTGACAGCTTGATGGTCAACCTACCCAAGGGTCCCGTGTGTTGCTCCCCTGTTGCTTTGCTACAGAGGGAAGAGGAGCCGAATTGGACTGCTATGACTAAGAGAGCCAGTGTGGTGTAGTGGTGAACAGCGCAGGACTGGGATTCAGGTGATCTGGGTTCTAGTCCCTGCTCAGCCAGGGAGCCAACTGGGTGACTTCGGGCCAGTTCCAGACTCGCAGCCCAAGCTGCCTCACAGGGTTGTTGTTTTGGGGATAAGGTGGAGCGCAGCAGGAAGAGAATGATGCCAGCCTCTTTGAGTTCTTTGTAAGAAAAAGGTGGGGTATAAATCTAATAAGCAAACAAATACCAGAAAAAAGAAAAGACTGTCCACACATAGACCTATAGATCATGAAATATATTGTACACAGGTATGGTTTTAACTGTAAATGCCTTTAGGAGCCACTCTGGTCTGAAAGGCAGGGTGTGCACAATGCAATCATTGGAAAAGCGATCCAAAACCTTTGCAGAATTCCCTGAATCCTGTCTCCCAGTTACTGCAATCAGTCACATTTCAAACTGGATTCTTAGAAGCAGATCGTACTTTTCTGTATGAACTGCCAAGTTTCTCAGCAAACTTCCACCCAGGTTTCTCAGCAATTTCCACTGCTGCCTGACAGAACCAGTAATTGCTCACCAAGCCAACTCCGACTGCTCAGAGGACCAAATCCTTGCTGCTGCTGCTATCATCATCATCATCAGCAGCAGTAGTATTCTATACTGCCTATAGCTGAGTAGTTCACAACATTTAAGTCACCCATCCAGGTGTCAACCAGGCCTGACCCAGCTTAGCTTCCAAGATTAGGCAGGTCCAGGCACCTCAGGCTAGATGGAATCAAATGAATGCAAGCTAGTATCATTGATGGCTGTACTAAACATATCTAAGTCAGAGTCTCACTCAGTTTCAGCTTCTCTGTAAGCACACATAAACAAAGTGTGAAATCTTAAGAAGAATATTTAACATTTACACAAGGCTTTTAAGAGTTCAGAGCCCTTCATGTGTGTTTATCTTGTTGTAAAGCAAAGCTCAGAAGAGGGCTGTTCTTATCTCAATTTCTTAGTCTCTCTGACACATCAGCTCTGAAATTCTTACAGGAGAGCACCTTCTGCATCTGCTCCGACAATGTGCCGAGCGGGTTCTTTAGTGGTTTTGCAGCCTACGTACCCCCATCTTACCTGAAGGGTTTGCTGTCAGGGTCTGTGTCTTTGAAGCCCATCTCTTCCAGCTTGCAGCGGCGATAGAGCTCGTAATGTCGGCTGTGTGTCTGCTCCCGCAGGTCTTCCATGTTCACTCTGATCAGCATTTCACGCAGCTTCACGAAATCACAGTGGTTTTCATTTTCAACTACAACGTAAAGCAGGGCAAGGATGCATAACCGAGGAACATTTCTCAAAAAATGCGAATCGTGAATCAACCGGGAATTCTATCATGCTCCAACCCCCAAGCTTTGGGCTTTTCTGCACATGAATGTGCAAAGTGCATGGCTACACTTCCACTATCACGAGACTCGGGCGGCTTTAAAGGGGATGAGCCAAATTCAGGGAGGATGAGGTGGTCAACGGCTACCAGCCCTGATGGCTATGTACTGCCTTCAGTATAGGATGCTGCCTAATGCATAAGTTCCATGAATCCATTAGCACTTAAGCGGAAATCTATTCCCACCCTACAGCCTGGGAACAAAAGACCATCTAGTGCCATCCACTGCAAAGGGGTGGGAAAAGCAGGTCCAAACACAGCACTTGTAACTGGTGTGGAAAACCGAACCAAGTTGCAAGGACAATGTTACTTCTCGTAGTGAAGGTGATAAACACCATGGGATCCATGGAAGCATCTTGGTGCACCGATGCAGCTGTTTGGATCCTAGTCACCCACGCACTTCACCAACGCTTTCTCCACTGCAAAACTTCCTGCCTCTAAGTCTCACCCCCCACAACTGAACCTTTTCTCCTCACTGGGGCAACAGTGTGAACAAGCATATTGGTCCCCACCAACCCCAGACATACCCTGTACAACTCCCCAGGGGTACTGCCTGGCCTTGGCCATCTTATTTCCAATCTTCACTTCTTCGGTGCTGCCAACAACAGCAAACGGCAGGTGGACCTAGTCAGCAAGAGACAAACAAAGATCACGGGTGTCTTCAGCGGTTTGGCCAGACTTTTTAAGAAGAGGCAGCGAGGGGGAGAGAGAGGAAACGCTCTTTTAATGACAACTGTGTTGGCTTTTGCTGATTTGACGTTATTCAAGTGTCCCTGGAATACAGCCAGAGCCTTTGAAGAGGGGGAATGAGATGACAACAGGCTCTAGATCAAAACAGCCTCCTTGCCCAGGAATTCGTTACAACCTTACTATTTGCATTATGCAATAATACAAGGAGGCAGTTCATTATAGCTCACGGAGCGTAATATCTCACATGCCTGAGACAGGGAGGTGTAAGGAACTATAAAGAGCACTGAAGACTTCCCCCTAGAAACATTATTCAGCCTCTCCTCTCACTTCTGTAATTTCAACAAACATTTCCACACACACACAAGCACACTCGATATGTCTTCTCAGATGCTCAGGTAGTTGCATCTTGAGCACTATCCCACATTCTGCTTTTCCATACTTCTGATGCGTTGCGGCACACACAGTCTCGCTTAACGATATACAAAGAGCTGTTTTGTTTTGTTCTTGCATGCAGCAACTATGGCTGAAGCCATTATCAACCACAAAGGAATTTGGTGGCTTCTGATATTTGAAAGGCCCCTCGTTTTTAACTCAGAGCATGGGCACTGCAGTCCATGAATCTTTCCCACAGCCAGATCCATGCACTGGAAATACTGTCAGAGACACATGCTCTGTGCTGTTGGATGTGGTTCATTTTCTAGGCAAAATCCAGGGTCTTTTCTCAAGGGTATATAGGGGAGGTGCTCAACTCCCATAAACTGCCATTCCCCATAACAAGGTAGCATCAAAACAGAGCCTTCAGGAATTTACAATAGGTGGAAGGGCACTTCTTCTTGGGAGGGTTGAGCATTCATTACTACAGGCATGGCAGTAATGAATGGATGGAGAGGGCCATAAATTGCCCTGGGAAAGGAGCTGTCATAGGAGAGCAGTATGACTCAGACAGTTCAGAGCCGGTTGCCAGTTTCTTCCTTGTTCTGCAAGTACGCCCTTACGTAATTCAAATACTGCCGGTCCACAGCAAGTGCTGAAATTTCCTAAGGAACTGGGCGGGATGGAGGGAAGGAAGTCAAGGTTCTACCGACTTCCCACCCCATTATATGAGCTTTAACTAAAGGACGAAGGAAAGGGGGATGTAATAAAAAGAGGCAGGCAGGCTGTCTGCATTCCAAGGCCCCCCAAAGAGCCAGCCAGCTTGACCTTAGAAGGGAGGATTCACAGGCACTCGATCCAGAAATGTCTGCAGCCTAGCAGAAAACAGCGACTACAGAAGCAGGGGTGACAGGAAAGCGCACTCCCATGCCACGGGGAGGGGGACAACACCTGCGTTCTTGTTCTCCTCAATGGGAAAGACGCTATGATTTGGCACCATGTCTAAGCGTGGCTTGTCAAGTCCAAGCCGGAGCTTTGTTTCAGGAGGCAGCTGTACACAGAAACCAGTCTGCTAGAAAAATAAAGCGAACACACAGCCTTCAGCCATTGTTAGTATGTCCCGTGGTTGGCCAAGAAAGCGAGAAAGGATGACACTGATGCTTCTCTACTTTGGGCACATCACAGGAGGGCGGGACCCACTGGAGAAGACAACCTTGCTAGGGAAAGCTGAAGACAGAGGAAGAGGAAGACCAAATGGGAGATGCATCAGTTCTACGAGGTATCGAGGAAGCCACCGCCTTGAGTGGTTTGCAAGAGCTGAGTGAGCTGTGAAGGACAGGGCATTTTGGAGGGGACTCATTCATTTATGGGATTGCCCTAAATGAGAGACGACTTGGCAGCACAACAAGAACAACTACATGGTTAGTTTGCTATCTACATCAAGGTGAGCACAAGCCAGGCTTCGGTGCAATGTGTGAACTGAATCCCAGGTTCGTTCCAGTTACCGAAGCAGAGATTCCTGTGTTCCAGGTTAGTTTGCTGGAGGCCTGTGTGGAGAAGTGACTATGGGCTGGTTGGCCACACCCCACAAGTCCACTCCGACCCACTCTACTGTCACATCCCACGGCCTCTGCTTCCAACAATCCACACTTCTCCCTTGAATCGTGGAGTTTGCAAAGAGCAGTGCAGGCAGCACCTTTCAGAAGGCTAGATTTGGCCTTCTGCATGCAACAAATTCGTTGCTGAGCTTTCCACCAAACAAAGCATTCACACACACACACACACACACCCCTCCCGATGGCCTGGCAAGCACTGAGCACTTCATTTCCTTCTGCATTTCCTCAGCTTCAAACCGAAACCTCAAAACCACTCTGGAGCTTTTGGAATTTACCAGTAAACAGTAACGGAACTTCTGCCTCAAAAAGGAGTGCCTTCTAGCCCAGCTTCCAGAGCCACAAAGATTCTTCCCCATCCAGGATATTATGTGTTTCGAAGGGGAGCCAAAGCCAAGAGGAAGCCGGGTCTGTGCTCTGTCTCCCGAGAGTCATCCAGGTGCTGTTCTCATTACACTGTGCGCAATTCTGAAGGGCTGGTTCGCATTTTGGGCAAAGATCACAGGCCACGCAGAGTTTTGGGAACTGGGCCAAGGGCTGGGCAGATGGTGGAGAGGCTCGTGGGTACAGACTGCCTGACAGCTGCAGCTATGCTATGTCCGCGACTGAAATCACGAGCCAGGGGCTCCCCTCCCACTGGTCCGTCCCTCTTTTTGAGAGAACCAACACTGGTTCAACTTCCACCCCAGACTGTGACAAGGATCAAGCATGCTGGGCCCAGAACCATCCAAACGACTCTTTCAAGCCAACAAAAAGTAGTGGATTGAGTACAGGACTTGAGCTCAAGAGCTTGAGGTTCAGGTTCCCACTCAGCCATGCGTGACTTTGGTACAGTCAGGGACTCTCAGCTTGTCCTACCTGCAGGGGGTGTTGTGAGGATAAAATGAAGAAGAGAATTCTTTATGCTCTTCTTTATTCATTTCACTCTGTACCAACCACTAGTCAAAGCTCTCTGGGCAGTTTGCAACAGTTCAGGAGAAGATGGGTTAGTTAAGCCACTTCAGGCTCCATGTAAGAATTATGCTGGAAGATGAACTTACTGAATGAATAAAATCAATCAATCAAATCGATATGCCTAATCTGGGTTTGTTATCTCTCCACACCAGAGGTGCAGAAACTCAAGGCCAGGAGCCAAATTTAGCTCTTCCGGAATCCCAACTCAGCCCCCTTGGGTCCCAGATGGCCACAACCCCTTCTTCTGGCCCCACCACTGCTCCCCCAACCAGTCCCTGTGGGGTGGCTTCCCAGCTTGTGCCATTTTCCCCATTCGAAAAGGCTAAAATGCATCTCTTAATGCCCAGCGACTTGCAGTGAGAGCTTTCAGCTAGAAGAGGCTGGTGGTTTTGGCCCACCTGCACCCCACTGCCTTCAGCCCTGACCACCTTGGGAATGGAGCTCTCCAAAGCATCACCAATGTGGAATTCACAGCCCTCGCGCTGAAAGAGGCTCATCCTCCAGGCTTTACCATTTGAACTATTCTTTCACTCTTCCAGATCAGCACAGAGGAAGGTTTAGGACAGACAAGAAAAAGTGCTTCTTCACATGACATACAGTTGAGCTATGCCATGGGAAGCGGTGGCGTCCATCAATTTAAAGGAGGATGGGACAGATGCATGCAGGAGGAGGTGATCCATGGCTACTAGCCTTGCTGGCCATGGGCTTCCTCCTTCACCAGAGGTGGCCTGCCTGCATACACCACTTGCCGAGGAGCTGGGCAGGAGGAGGTCTTGCACCCATCCTGCTTGAGGGATCCTGGGGCAGCTGGCTGGCCACCATATGTCAAGAGCGCTGGACTAGATAGATCTCAGGTCTGATCCAGTATCTTATGAATGTCCTGTTCTGATGCATCTGATGGAGCGGTCTCCCTATGAAGGCTTAAGAATGCTATAAAAGCACTGACTGGCCTTCAAAATGCCAGAAGAATCTCCTCTTTGTTCTTTTGCTTGGAGACAGACGGTGCACACTCCTGGTTTCTGAAGCATAATTTGCAAAGACGACAAAACCACATTGCATTTCATGTCTCTTAACACGTCAGCCACAAGCCCGTGCCTCCATTCAGTACCACTGGTGCACAGAGGCCCACAGAGAAACAGGAGCGGGAAAAGGATGGTGCCACTCTTTAGGGCTGTCTCTGAATTGGCCACTCCTGTTGCACTGGGCTACATTGAAAGGTCTCTCTAGTACAGAAAGTCAAGAAGTGACCTACTACTGCCTCTTATAATGATGTGGATGTCCACCTAAGGAAAACAAGACTTACACTCATCGTAGCGTTGATCTCAGCCACTGTCTCTTCATCTGTCGGGAACTGATAGATTTGGACCCCGTTGCTGACCAGCTCACTCATGATTTTGCTCTTGAATTTATGCAGCTCGTTTTTTGCAATGGTGTCAGCTTTGGCAATTATGGGGATAATGTTCACCTGCAATGAAAACCATGCTCAGTCATCATGCTGCATTGGCGGGTGGCAATGTGGGAGGAGAAAGGAGAGCCTTTTCTGAGAGTAAACAGGAGAGACAGGGGAATATGGACTGGACTTCTTAGAAAAGGGTAGGGAATGGGGGAAAACTTGCATCCATCCTCTCTTCTCACTCAAAGCTCCTAGTCTAACATCAGCCTGTTGTAAGCATTGCATGTCCCAAGTATTATTGGAACAATACTAATTGTTTCATGCAGTACGTTAAAAGCACTATCTCTTTGCAGTCCTTATAGTTCTGCAAGGTAGTGCAATATTATTCCCAAGTTACAGAGTCAAGAAGGGATTTGCTGAAAATGCAAGACTTGCTTAACACTACCAAGTAAGTTCAAGGCAGAGGCAAGGTTCAAACCGGAGGATCTCTTGATTTGCAGCTCAGTCTCTCAGATAATCCATCACACTACCAAACTCAGTAGTGGATAAGCTGGATAAAGTTGCCACTAGATAATCCTAAAATAATCCCAATGAATGTGTTAACTTCTCCTGCACATCCCTGCAAACAAAGCACAATGCAAGATGAAGTAGCTGAAAAGGAAGTAAGATTCCAGGATATCAGTAAGGAAATCATGGCCCATACCATTCTGATGTCAGAGCATGAAGGATCACAAATCTGTACCCTCTTGAATAAGCAATGGACCACATAGATCAGTTGATTTCCTCCATACTCCTGCACAGATCCAAGAAGAAGGCCTTTGTGATGGTGTGGAGTTGCGTGATCCACGGGCTGAGAGACAGTAGACCCAAAACTACATGACGGGCTGCCCCAAGGTAGAAAATCAGAGGGCTCCCTTTCCTTTTTGATTAAGTTACACAGGTACCGCTCAGGTACAGCTTTCTTCTTCTACCCACTGCCCTCGCAAAAGGAGCTACTGGATTCCTACTGCACACAGATGGTACAAAGATTAATAGACTTGAATCTTCATCATTTGAGGATTGCAGCTAATAAAATTTGTTCCTCGTTACTGCATCTTAACATCAATCACTGCTATAAAACTGGAATTACTGCGGCCCCATAGCTGTACACACAAACTATTTCAAAGATCAGAAGAGCATTTACTCTCGCCCATTTTAACATGTCACCATCGGCACTGTTAAAAGGACCATTTAGCAAGACCCCAGACAATGAACAGGTATGTTCTTGTGCTGCTGCAGGAGCAGAAACAGTGGAACTTATTCTCCTATATCACAGCTTTTATAGGAATGCAGAGAGCAATTGATTAAACCGTTAATAACAGAACTTTATGGGAATGATTCTTCCACTCTGGTATCTAATTGTTTAAGGGCTGTATCCTCTTATGCTACTGGAAATGTTGCCAATTTTTTTATGACGGCAATGCAGATTCGGAAAAATGTGGTCATCCGCTTGAGTGAAAACATTGTATAAATTGTACTTGTTTTAACCGTGCTTTAATTTTTCTCCTGCTCTTTTATTTAACTGTTTATTAATTTTCCTGGTCTGTGACCATAACAAATAAATAAATAAATTTCTCCGCTACTACGCCCAGCTGCAGCAGAACATGCGTGTCGAAGTCTCTCATATTACAATGAATTGAACTGGAAAGCACCCCCTCCTCTAGCTGAGCTGAAACAGAGACGCACCACAGATGCACCCAGCAAATAGCTCAGCACTGAGGCGCTTCTTCCTTCTTCCTTTCATCTTGTACTCTGATATTCATCAAGGAAGGATTGCAGTGGTGAGCTTTCAACTGGGCTGTTCAGGAGACGCTCCCAGGCATCAGAACCTTTTTCCTCTCTGCTGCCTTCTAAGGGACCTATAGGTTGCCCTCCCGCATTAGCCCCAGCGTATTCTTCCTCTTCCTGAACCCAGGTCCAGTCCGGTCTGATTGCCAGCCCGACAGATCCAATTATGCAGCGTTTCCACTGTGTGGATTAATTATTCTGTTTCTAATGAACTTGTAAAGGCCAGTGAAATGACAGAATTTAGGTCACAAACACTGCAGTGAATGGAGAGTTTATCAAGCACACTTGAATGTGAATTGCAAAACTTGCCCAGTGATGCAACAGCAAAGTACATAAGATCCATTTGTTTGCATTTCAGAGTATGGAAGATAGCCATAAATAGAAGGCACACTCAGGCAAGCTACTGCTTACCCTCCTGTCCCTACAGAGGCTGTGAACAGGAAACATCACTACACCACACAGAATACAGCCAGCATTTCAGAAAAAGATGGTAAAAGTATCAAGAGCGTTTTCTTTCACAGTGATGTACATCCTTGGAGTTCCTACAGCACCCGTGTGAGGCCACTCCTAATGTGAAAAAAGTGAAGAGGTGATAGCTTAGAAAGAGAAAAAAGATCGCTCAGTTGCATCTGGAAACTAGTTTTCAATTTCCTGGAGATGCAGTGGACATCTTTGGAGATAACAATCAATGACCCTGAGCTGGTTTGTGAAGGAGGTCGCCCAAGCATCCACCTTGGACGCTCCCCCATTTCCTACTCCTAGCATGACTAGAAGAGGAGAACAGAAACTTCCAGTTCCATCTTCTTAATTTCACTTTAGCATTATACAAGGCCTAAAGTTGAGTTAACCTTTTGTTGTTAGTCGCGAAGTCGTGTCCAGCCCATCGCGACCCCATGGACAACATTCCTCCAGGCCTTCCTGTCCTCCACCATCCCCCAGAGTCCACTTAAGCTCACACCAACTGCTTCAGTGACTCCATCCAGCCACCTCATCCTCTGCCGCCCCCTTCTTCTTTTGCCATCTATTGTTCCCAGCATGAGGCTCTTCTCCAGGGAGTCCTTCTTTCTCATTAGGTGGCCAAAGTATTTGAGTTTCATCTTCAGGATCTGGCCTTCGAATGAGCAGTCAGGGCTGATCTCCTCTACGACTGACCGGTTTGACCGCCTTGCTGTCCAGGGGACCTGCAGGAGTCTCCTCCAGCACCACAGTTCAAAGGCCTCAATTCTTCGGTGCTCAGCCTTCCTTATGGTCCAACTTTCACAGCCATACATTGTAACTGGGAAAACCATGGCCTTGACTATACGCACTTTTGTTGGCAGGGTGATGTCTCTGCTTTTTAGTATGCTATCTAGATTTGCCATAGCTTTCCTCCCCAGAAGCAAGCGTCTTTTAATTTCTTGGCTGCAGTCCCCATCTGCAGTGATCTTGGAGCCCAGGAAAATAAAATCTGTCACTACCTCCATTTCTTCCCCATCTATTTGCCAGGAAGTGAGAGGACTGGATGCCATGATCTTAATTTTCTTAACCTTAGCTATGTTAACCTTAGCTATGGTGTACTGAAGCAAGTCTGCTTCATAAAGCAAGGTCTGAAGTTAACTATAATTGACTGAAACAAACTGAAGCTAAACGTATTAAGACAGACTCCAAAGCTGCAGCTAGTTAGCAATGGAAGCGAGGTTTCTAAACTCCCGAGGACTATGCCAAAAAAAGCAGGGTGGGGAGCACATGGGCCCAAGGTGTGAAGAACCTCTTCCGTACCACCATAACACTGTTTATCCTGACATCTGAGCAGGAGCGCTCAGTGTCCTTTGGTAAGCTATTATGCTTTAGATTAATTTCTCATGTATAAGAGCTACAGGGAATAAGAGCCATTCCGAGAAAAATCAAGATAGCAGCTGCTATGTATACTTGCATGGCAGGAAGTCCCACTAAACTCTGGGACTTTTCCCCAAATAATGTCCAGGATTGCATTAAAGCTCTGCAAGGCACTGAGAATTACATTATTAGTGCTGTGGATGTGATTAATTATATACTTCCAGGGCTATGATCTACATTTCTCTCATTTTGTAAGTTTTATAATGTCAACTGAGTGGAGAGAAGGAGGAGAACAACACATTAGCAGCACATTTAAGGACTGCTTAGAATCAATCTCCTTCCTTGAAAACAGAAGAGCTTTAAAAAAAAAAAAAAAGCTAATAAAGTTGACATGAATATTGACCCAGAAAAGAAGAGGTCTTTAACTACAGGCAGTGCTTGAAAATCCTCTTACATTATATAAACTCATCCCTTCCTGAGGAGGTTGGTAATCCTTATGTGGATGAAATATTGAAACTTGTGCCAAAATTGCAGACTTCACATTCAGTCAGAAAAGGAGGAAAGATCCAGATAAAAATTTTCACTACCACTACCACTGCCAATGATAACATGAAGAGGTATTCCTGGTGGAATAAATGCCATCTCAAATTCATCCTGAAGTTGAGAAAACTCAAATTTTTCTTAAGAAAAAAGGTAACATGGATTTGCAGGATTACAGCAAGAACCTGAATGGAAGAGTGTTTTTAGGTGCAGCAAATGCCTGCCATACAACTCCATCTTAGAAGAGGCATTCTGTCTCTGGTAGGAGCAAAGGCAGAATGCGTCTTCTAATTTAGCACCAGCTGCTCATGTATTCATGGTCATCATCTTCTTTTTCTTCTGTAGTAAAACACTTGTGTATAAAAAACCTGCATCACAGCCTTGCCAGGAACACAATGAAGAGGCCGTAGACACAGCTTCAGAATCCTGCCCTTCCAGGTCCTTAATCTCAAGGGCCCAAGAGCTCTTTTTAATGAATGGAAAACAAGCATTTGGGTTCTGTTACTCTCCACAATTCCTAATACAACTGGCTGGCAGGGCAAGAGCAGTTCTGCCATCTCATCAAGGTATACCTTACTATCCAGCTTCTTCATGGTGACCAGATCAAGAGATTTCAGGGAGTGCCCAGTAGGTGCAATGAAATATAAGCAGGCGTGGATCCTGGTGTCATGATAGTTAAAAAGGGAGCGCTTGATTTTCAGTTCTTCTTGTAAGTAGGCCTCAAACTGGGCATCAATGTACTCCACAATAGGCTTGTAGCTGAAACAGAAAAAAACCCCTTTCAGATCCTGTGGAAATTAAGTTTTGAAGGTTTTCTTTGAGGTGGTAAACCATTATTTCAACCTGAGTCACAGACATATCCAAGGCCGACTTGCCGTGAGTCATGCCGAAGAGGAGGAACCAAAACTCAACAGCAGTTCTTACTCTGGATGTGCAGATCTCTTGATCTCGCCCAGTACAGTCATTATCACAAGGTCAGCTCACACCCCCTCACCTCCACTCAAATACACTCGCGGAGGCTCTCTCACTACCGGTGTCATACCATCTGCGCTGAAACAAAAGCCAAGCTGTCACGGGGAGGGGGAAATGGCTGAGCTGGTTCACCATTTCCCTGCCTATCTACCCATCACCTGACTCCCATCTTGTGTAACCATGGCAAACACAGGCCAAGATGTTGGGAAGCTGCCCTGCCTAGGTCACTCAACCTTTATTATGTATGTCACACAGTTGGCTGCCAGCACCCCACCCAGGACTGACAGGGCCATGCTTAAAAAAATACAACCCACCGTCTGTTCTCGGTCTGTCGTTGCGACTCTCCCACAGACAGGGAAGGGCTTGGGGTCTCTAATTTTTGTGCCAGTATCCCTCCAGTGCCTCCAAGCAGCCTTTCATAACAGATCAAGTTTTGGCAAAGGAAGATGCTTACACACCACATGAGTTCTGAATTCGGTGCTTTTGCTTTAATGTTAGCCTGAATTTCCGCTGCAGATTAGCCCAAACTCTTTGTCCAAAGAGTTTGTGATGTGTCAGGAGTTGCTCTGACTGAGTGCCTCGTTATCAGAACATCCCACTGGAACAGTCGATGCTGAATTCAGAAAGCTCTTCTCCGGGTGCTCTCAGAAATTTTGATTTCTGGGACTAAAGTATATTATACATATTTGCACAGCTCTGCTAATTTGCATAAATTATTTTGCATATTACTATTCACATAATTTATGCCAGTTTTACTAATCAAGTGGAGGGATTCAGAGCTATATGGATTGTCAACACCAATCACTAGAAATCTTGTTGAGCTGTTCTCAGTGTTTTCACAGCCAAGAGGACTAGAAATAACTAATTTAGAAACATTACATTGTCAAGAAACTGAATCCAAAGTACATCACAGTTTTACTACAGATGGATTTACTGCAGATAATTGTTACAAATTTTGGTTTAGTTGTATTCTTCAGTTCCTTGTTTCTCTTTCCCCCTCAGGTTCAAATTAATCACACTGTTTTGAAATGGCTTTATCTTTGTGGCATGAAGCCACTTTGTCCTGAGTGCTAAAGTTAATTTTGGAGACGTTTTTGGGGACCACATCCCACAGGTGGCGAGAGCGAAAAGCCAGAAATAGTGAGGTAAAATAGCATATTTTAGTTTATGGCTGTTACTGCCGGTAACTAAGTGGTAGGACATCTGTTTAAATATTTTAGGATGGGGAGGGACATGTAGAAGTCAGGAACCTACCAAACAACTGGTAGTCAGGACAAAGGTAGGGTGAAGAGGCATGGCTGAGGAATTTTGGAGGGACAGATTGCAACACTAGATTAAGACTGGTGCGACCTGCGTTCAAACTTGCACTCTGCCATGCGGGATCAGGGCGTGCACTGGGGCAAAGTGGGAGAACAGAACCTTTTGCTCTTTAGAGGAATATCTAGGCTACAGCCCAGGACGGCTAAGTCTGGCCTCCTCCCCTTCTGCTCATTACACTATTCCACCCACCTTTACAGAAGCCAGCATGTTTCAGTTTCAGTGTGGGTTTAAAAACAGGCATTCTTGGAATTTATCCCTACGAGCCACCCATTCCAAGAATTCCTTGCTAAAGTCTCATTCCCTATTTAGGAAAAATTAGATGAAGTCATTAAAATAGCTTTGGAGCATATCCAGCAAGCTGAAGGGCTTTAACTACAGCTAATGAACTCCCAAACCAATTTAAAACAAATTCAGAATTCTTAGGTTTTTGAGAATGTGTGTGTGGAGGCAGTTCTGTACATTAAACTGGATTTAAAAGTCTACTATATAAACATACTCATTCAAGCAACGTATTTCAGGTTGCAAGTAAATATATACTCTGAAATAGAGACTTCAATAATTTTTTTGGCACAGTTCATCACCCATGAAAGTGGCAGACCACGTGGCTTCCTCACTATCGCAGTGCAAATCCCCTTATTAATTTAACATGAAACATGATGTACATAAACACGATACTTGAAAAATATTGGGTCACGTGCCCTGAAACATAAGGGATCTTATACCCTCAGATGAATTAAACCTTTATTTAAAGAGGAAGAACTAATGAACAGTAAAATCTTTGTATATTACTGCAGGGGCATTTGCTGTTGTGATGTGTTGCCAAGTTGTCTCCAACTTATGGCCCTCCAAATGCCCCATCCTTGACAGCCCTGCTCAGCTCTTGTAACCTCAAGGCTATGGATCCCGTTATGGAATGGATCCATCACCTATTAGCACGACAAATTGTGCTAATCACAACTATGGGGCTGCCTCTTGCATTCACTGGGAGTTTGTACCAGCCTCGCCTAACCTGCTGACCTCCAGATGTTTTGGACCCCAATTCCCATCAGCCCCAGCCTGCTCGGCCATTGTTCAGAATTCTGCGGGCAGTAATACAAAAAACTGGGTGACACTAGGTTAGAAGAGGATAGCATGTACAAACCATCACTAAGAACTCAAACTGTGAGTTCAGACATCAGACTCCCTAAACTTTGGGCAGAGATTGTGTCACTGATGGCTCTTTCCACACCCATCCTTCCTGCTCCCCTGTTTGCAGTGGTCTCTAGTCACTGTGCTTTGACACTGCTGTTTGTATCCAATTTATTTTCTTGCAAGTTAAGCAGAAACCATTGGTGGAGTGGGTTTCCCCTTCCTTTTCTGTGTGCCCCAAATTTGCTTTGGGGGCTTTAGGGACCCTCAAGAGCAGATCTAGGGGACCCACCAGGTCCTGCAGGTGAAAGAAGAGCCAAAGTGCTTTTATTGTATTGGCAAAAGCCCATTTGCAAGACATTCGATGTAATCCTGGGCTTCTCCGGACCAGTAAACCCCTCTTTTGTTGACTGCCTCTGAGTGGCTCCATCCAGAAGGTACAGTGGTGGATTCTTGTGCCACAGTCATTCAAGAGGTGTGTTTCTGATGGTGCGTCTGTTACCTACTCAACCTCTGCACAAGAAACAGGAAGCCACAGCATACAACACCCAGGGACAAAAGCAACACCGCTGGCCTCCAACACCAGTCAACACAATCAACACAGGCGAGCAAAGGCAAAATGCTCTGTACTGAACAAACAGGCACGGCAGCACTCAGTTGCCAAGGCCAAATATGTATGTCCTCAAGAGAGGGCCAGGGACAGTTCTAGGACCTGGCCTTATGGTGAGAGGCCAAGGAAGGGAACCAGCCTCACAAGTCAAGGGCCAGGTCTGTGGAAGCGCAATCTGTGAGATATGGATTGGCTCCTGCCTTCACCTCAGACCCACTCCAGAGGAAAGCTGCACATGTGTGTGAGGTGAGAAAGTTTTGTGCTTCTGAAAATAGCTAGACGTCTCTGGTTGATGCCAAGTACGAGGGAAGCATCCCTGGGTGACCCCTTGTAAGAAAAGGGATTGCTAAAAGGGGACAAGTAAACCAAAAGCTGGGACAGGAGGGTAAATTCCGTTGCCACATGTGGAGTATGATAATTTCTTCCAAGTTCCAGTTGTGAGAGCATAGGAGCAAAACTGCTCTCCTGCTCCCACTGTGGACCAGAAAGAGCCCCTCCATAAGTCTAAAAATATTTGAAAATATAAAACTTGGTAAATAGTTCACTTGTTTGTTTGTTTGTTAAAAGCTTTTCTATCCCATCCCCTAAAGAACATCTTGGGACGGCTTACAATAAACTTATTTAACTCCCAAGACACAGGTTTAGCAAAACTTTAGAAGTCAATCAGCTAAGCTAACCAAATATTAAACAGCATATACATATTAAAAATGTTTTACACTGCAAAGCTATACATTTTGCTTTTTAAACCATGAGTTTTATTCATCCTAAACATAAAAGCAAAATAAGCAACATTAAGACATAAAAATTCAGGACATTTTCTTAAGTGATATTGTGATCCATATAACACATAAGATCATTTTGTAAGAAAAGCATACATCATAATGTATGAAACATTCATGCATATATTTAAGCATGCAAATAAGAAACATGCATATGGAACAAGGTGCAAAATGGTGAACAAGCAGAAGTACTAGGGCAGCCTTCCCCAACCAGGTGCTCTCCATATGTTTTGGACTACAACTCCCAGAATTCCTGATCACAGGCCATGCTGGTTGAGGCCAATGGGAGCTGAAGTCCAAAAACCTGACGTGCAGCAGGATGTGGAAGACTGGACTAGGATATTGGTAAAAAGCACAATTGGACCACAGAGGTGAAAAACAGTGGTCAAACTGACTAAGGATATTTCCAAATGAAGCTTTTATCATCCATTTTATTTGCTCTGCTCTGTTCGTGAAAGGTCATCTTCTACTTGTAACCCTTCCCTGCTTTCCCACAACTAATTCTCCCTTTTTTATTTATACAAAACCGTTAGTAAGGGAGGAAAGAACAAATAACTGTCTAAGCTTTTTGACTGCCAGTGCAAGGAGACATCCATCTAGAAGCACGCTGTTACTGTCATGTTCTAGTTCTCTATAGGACTATACCACCTCAGAATGCATGCTGGGAAATGGCTTGTTTCAACAGAATGCCACACTCCTTGCAGTTTAGAGACAAACCAAAGTCTCCCACTGCCTGGTCCCAATACATTTGTCTCTCATCGACAGAATAATCAGTACACCTTGCGCATCTTCAGAGCATACCTTGTATGGGGTAACTTTAACGTAAGGTTAAAGGTTAATGTAAGGTTACCTGTCATCTTTATTTATCTGGTCTCCAAAACCAACCGTATCAACAATCGTCAGCTTCAGACGGACATTGCTTTCCTGAAGTTCGTAACTCCTTGCCTTCAACCGCACACCGGGCTCGTTGTGTGTGGCCGGGTCGCTTTCAAACTTCGTGTTGAACAGAGTGTCCATGAGCGTTGATTTGCCGATACCAGTTTCGCCTGAAGAAACAGATCAGGATTAGGAGTCAGAAAAACCCACAGGCAAGAGCCATCTCCTGAACTCTCTGTCTGGCACGTGGAGCTGGATAGCTACTGAAAAGTAGACATTAGACTCTAAAATGGCAAGGATTGGGCAGGGCCAGCACGGCCGGGAATGAGACTCCACGGAGTTCCACATTCTTTTATGCTGCTTTCAGGGCATATCCTGGCCCCAGTCCCGACCTAAAAAGCTGAAGCCTCGTGGCTTTAACTACCTTTTGGTTAAACTTGGCTCAGCTTTAGGGACGATAATCCCTTTGCACACACCGCCTGACTGGAATGGACGGAAAGCAGAGATGCCCCACAAATATGGGATCACACAAGAAAGAACTCGAACCTTGGTAGCCTTTGGCCTGCCCTTTGACGGGGACCTGTTCTGGGAAGTCACCATGCTCCTTCTCAGCTGGCAGGACTTTCTCTTCCCTTTCACACATCTCAGCCGGAAGGGTTCAGAATGAAGGCCGGAGCCACACAGTCATAACCTCCTTCCTGCCAGAAGCACATCAGTGCATTCGAGATGCTGGGAACTGCGTTTGTGTCCTCTTTGATGAGCACGGCTACACTAACTTAATCTGGTTTATTTAGGCCACAATTCTATGCCGGTTTAAATAAATAATTTTAGACAGAAAAAAGGCCTACATTTCCCAGTGTACCCTGGCCAGCTATGTTAGCTGGAGCATGCTGGGAGATGAAGGCCTCTGTCTGTCTAAGCTTGCAGGGTTGCATTGTGAAGCTGTAATTACACAACAAGCAACTGTCTTATTTGCCCATTAACCACATCAAGACATCCATCCCTTTTAAAACTGCATGACAATCTTTCTGGCATCACATCATATAAACTGTGTTTTCTTATGTTAACTGGTAGGGCTTACTTTTGGCTTGTAAAGATAAGTGGGAAGCAAACTGTTAAAAGCAGGAGACAGGGCGCGCGAGAGAGCGAGCGAGCGAGCATACTTTTTCTGAGTAGGGCTCCTTCAGTCTTTGGTAAATACGTGAAGGTTGCTGTATTGCTTCGAAATCCTGCAAGACTCCTTCGATCAATGGCAACAGAAGGATGTGTGTTCACCCTTGCTTGCATGCTCCTGTCATGCCATTCTGAACTCGTCTAAAAATTAAGTTACAGTCAACTAAGCCTGCAATTGCTACAAGTTAGTTCTGGACCAACCCAGGAAAACCACACACAAATTATAATTTGGAAAGTCTGCAAGAAACAAGAGGCACTTTATCTAAACTTCCGATTGCGGCCATGCATGATCACAGCATAAACTTTTTGTTGCTGAATCCTAATTAAGTGTAAACTGAAAAGTTGTTTAACCAAAACATCCTCAAACTGAAAGCTAGTTCCCCTTTGGAAATCTGCAAGAAATTAGGAGCATCCTTAAACAAAGCCCATCCAGGCCTCACAGGAGGGCAGGCTTCAAGCTGCAAATGACTCCATTTTCTCCAATAAATAGATGATCCACCCAGTGGATTTAGCTATAAAAAGTGACTTAGGGCACAAATACACCTAGCAGAATTAAGGAATGATGTATCCTTGTGCATACGGCTCAGAGCAAGAATTCATCCCACAAAAATCCATTCCCGGTCTTATTCTCTCAGCTCATTTTAGAGGAGGTCTGTCCACACACAAAAGGGATTAGTGTGGAAAGTTTCCGGGGTGTGGGGATTCTCTCCCGGCAAACCTAAGCCCTTGTATCATTTCCCCAAACTTAAGCACTGGCTTAATCTTGAGCTCATCTACCAGAGATTTGCTAGGAGGGCTCTGTGACTGGTCATCTTATATGCAAAAACGAGAAGAGACCTCGTTAATTCCCTGCTCCCTGGTCTCTAAGCCTTCTCCGGCCTGGTTCCCTTGGGGCAGGAATCTTTTTGCTTGTGCCATGAAGTGCTAACACTGGTATAACAAGTCTGCAAATTTTTTAAAAACCTCAAATCCAGTTTAACTGTGCAGCTTCTATATTTCCATTCTTGCCACTGGTGCAGAGAGGGAGGGAGGGAGGGAGGGAGGTGTACAGAATTATACACAGGGTGGTCAGCGAGGATAGGGAAAATTTTTATCCCTCTCCACAATACTAGAATTCAGAGACACCCCATGAAGCTGATTGGTGGGAAAAGCAGGACAGGTAAAAGGAAGGGCCTCTTTAAACAGCACATAATTAAATTATGGATTTCACTTACATAATAGACAGCAATGCCAACCCATTTGGATAGCTTTATTTATTTATTTATTTATTTATTTAGCAAGCTTCTATGCCGCTCCATTCGCCGAAGCCTCGGGGCAGCTCAAAACAATAAATAAATACACAATTAACCATATAAAACAATATAATTGGAGACGTCCTGGCCAAAATAGTTAAAATCAATAAATAAGTCAACAATTAAAATGACATTTAAATAAAAAGGTCTTGGCCTGGCGCTGAAAAGCAAATAACGACGGCGCCAGGTGGACCTCTCTGGGGAGCGCATTCCATAGGTGGGGCACCACCGCAGAGAAAGCCCTCCTCCGGGTACTCACTCTCCTAATGTCCTTCATGGAGGGCTCCCGGAGAAGGGCCTCTGCCGCCGATCGCAAGGGGCGGGCGGGCGTATATGGATGTAAGCGCTCCTTCAGGTAACCAGGACCCAAGCCGTTGGGACCAGGACCCCTTTAAAAGGGGACTGGTCAAATGCACGAAGTATAAGCTACCAACAGCTAACTAGCCGTGCTTGCTCTGTCTGACCGCCAGTTTCAGGGGCTGGATCCCTAGGTATTCCAGTTGCTGGGGAACATAGGCAGGACAGTGCTGTTGCAGTCACATTCTGCTGGATGGTTTCCTGTAGGCAACTGGCTGGACTGGGTGGACCTTGGCCCAACCTAGCAAGTCTCTTCCTCGGGAAAGACTTGCTTCTCTTCCACGATACTCCTTAAGTTGCCACCTTGATTCCAGTTTCCTCCCACACTTTTTCCTTCCAAGCCTACTTGCAACTGCCAGCTCCCCCTCTAAAGAAGAAAGAGCTCTAAAGCGCCAGATGTTTAGCAAAAATCCTGACTGCAACTTTCTCCACTAATAACAAAGCCATGGAGAACCGTGGCGGCGTTGCTCAGAGATTTACCAATGCAATTGTACTGGGAACACAAATATACACAGATCCCAAACTCCTGACTGGGCTGCTCCCACGCCACCTGAACGAAGGCATCCTGGAGCGTTTGGAGGTTAGGTAAACCAGCATGAACCAAGGGAAACAATGGTTTATTCCCTAAACAGCCCAGAGTGCATGAAAACAAGCGGCAACAAGAGGGACCACAGAAAGTGGAATCAAAGCAGAAGTGAGCAACACATTTGCAGCAGTTCTCATACTTGTGCCTGACAAATCTACCATTAAGGCAATGAGGTACACAGTCCCTCTTGGCTTCTCAAAGGAGAGTCGCAGTTTTGCAGAAGGAGCTCAACGCGCACAGTCTTTCTACTCCGGAGCCTTTAAACAAGTGGAGGGGAGGAGCTGTTGATAGGCACTGGGGTGGAAAGCTGTATCAGTTGAATGAGGAATTGGTGGGAGGTCCACAAAACTAATAAAGACACATTTTAGATCAGTGCAATTGAGAGCGCAATGGCACATTTGATTCCCTTTTGCAGCTTCTTCGTTTAAGTGCATTGCTCTATGAGAGAGTAAAGAAATATAGCAAAACTAAAAGGTGACCTTTGCTTTCAGTGACACATGCTTGTTTTTACTGATTCAGTCATTAAGTTCTCACATGTTTCCTTTAACAAGGCACTGATGCCAAGGTTTTGGCAAGAAACTACGAGGAGGAGGAGTCCTGATGAATAAGACCAACCGCCCACCAGGCCTCAGATCCTGCATCCTGCTTCCCACAATAGCGAGCTGGATCCTCCAGGACATCCTCCTGCAACTCTTGAAGGGAACAATATGGTGTCGCTGCCTTTCCAAAAAGTGCTATGCAAATTCATTGCAGCCAACTTGCATGCACCTTTACTAAGAAGGAGGTCCCACTATATTTGATGGCCCTTACTATCTAGTATGTATGGCTAGGAATGCAGCCATAAGAAACAAAAAACACAAGTTTAAGGAGTCTGCTAATGGAGAGACCGCCCTAGTGTATTTTTGGAAGAGAATGCCAGAAGAGGCCTTGTGCTGGACTGGACCCATGGTGCACTTGGCTCTGACTGCTACCTGCAATTCCCTCCCAGCCTGCTATTTAAGAGTCCTTTAAGAGGGCAACTGGTGGCCCTCCAGATGTTCCGGCCTACAATTCCCACGATCCCTCTCATGGGCTCTGCTTGCCAGGGCTGAAGGCTGTAGGCCAAAACATCTGGAAGACCACAAGTTGCCTGCCTCTGCTTTCAGCTGGTGGAGAGAGCAGGCCTTGTGTCTATGAATTCTGTTTGCCAAGTCTCTGCCACTAAACTACACCCCATACTTCACAGCATTCCACATCAAGTCCATGGCAGAGGAAAGAAAACCTAGCTGATGCTAGCTCCTTAAGCAGTTCTCTCTCTTCCTCCCAGAGTTTTCTGCTGTGTCTTCAACAACCCCCTTCGAGGAGAGAAAAGGCCAGGTTTCCTGGTACTCTCCCTTGCCCAGTTTTGCCATACATCTTCATCACCCACTTGAACAAAACTGAATCCAAGCCTTGGAAAACAGCTGTGGATGCCAGCAGGTGAAAAAGCCACACTCCACAGGCTGCCATTTTTTAAAAAGCAATAAAACACCTGTCTATATATATATTACAGAAACAAACGAACCTGCCTACTAAATTTTCATTGTAAAAACAAGTTTCATTTGGCATAAGCAGGCAGCAATGGGAATAGCTCGACCTGGCCAGATTATGTATAGGGATCATCCATTTCATTATTACACACAGCCCTTGAATGCAAAAGGAATGGTCTTGGGAAAGATGCGGCTTGTACCATATTAAGAAGCTCAAACTGACTTGCTTCATGGTTTGCTGAGCTTCTGCTGCATCATTCATTTTCTTTTAATTTGTTGGATATGAAAATACTAATCCTTAAGGGAGATCAGAGGACAAGGCAGAAGTCTTTTTGCATTCCACAGATAAACTGGACTCAATAACTCCAGACATCTTTGAAAACAATCTTCAAACCCAGGCACTTCAGAGTCTCAAAAGGCAAGACTGCATGGAAGGCACATATCCCAGTATTTAATGGGGAAAGCATAGGATGTGATATTAAATGTAGGAATCAGCTTGCTAAATATCCTTTAAAGAATAAAAGAAAATTGCAAGACCCTACACCAAAGAAAACACACTGTGTGTGTGTGTGTGTCTGTTGTAATCTCAGATGCCAAAAGAAGGATCAATAACTCCATCATGGGGCTGCACACAGGGCTTCAGTGTCCATGAATGGAGACAAACAGAATAAGGATGGCAGCACATACCTGGTTCCCGGGTATTAAGCCACACTGAATTCTGTGGCACCTCCAAATAGGCATGCAAAGGCCTACACTCTAAGTTATGCAAAGTAGCAAAAGTTGCAGAAGAAAACTCATCCAGCTTTGCATAATCTAGACAGGTCACAGAATTCGGCTTTTAATTTTCAGAATTCCAACACAGGGCACATGTCCATGTGGAAAGGCTCATTTTCTGGCCAGAACAGCACAATGGCTCAAAGGCAGTCGAACTTTGGAAACATTTGCCAGGGGATTTATTTAAGCCCCTGCAATTTGTTGCTTTAGTGAAAAATTATAGGTTTGTGAGAAACTCCCCAGGGAGAAAAACAGGTATAATTTTGCATGGGATGTTTCTCTCATGCAATCAAACCGCTTCATGTTCTACATGTAACCATAATGAAAATATTGCAGTCTTACGGGAAAAAACTAATACTGGGGCTAATCCAAACACTGAGCAAAACAGTGGGGCAGAATTCTGAACTACACTGTATCAAACTGCTATCAGGGGACTCATGATTTCTGATTATTCCTTGCATTACTTTTTTAATGTAAAGATTCTCTGCATGTAGAAAACCTGTACATCAAGGAGGTCAGCCCTGGAGTTGCTTTCTTTGACGCACTAGCTTCCCACATAAAGGAAGAGTTTGAAATGAAGGAACAGTAAAAAGGCAAGTTTTCTTCTGTTTGGAAGCAGAAAAGTTCTAGAGATAGTTTGACCTCTTGATTTTGCTGAATACATATAATTCAGGTCTTTAGAAGGCTGGAAAACAATTGAGGGGCTTTATCAGTTGCATAGGATTTTATCAGCAGATAGCTTCAATTATTAAGTTGTTACTCCTCTTTAAAAAATTTACCACTAGTTATTACAGAAGCTAACACATCCAGGAAAATACACACAACTGCAGTCCGCAACAGCAGTAGTGCAATCTTTGCTATGGGGATGAATTAAAAAATAAGTGTGAAATTCTATGCAGGTTTAACAAAAAGAGTCCTGCATCTCCCAGCATCCTCATGGGCTATGCTGGAAGTTGTATGGCATCTTTTCTGTCTAAACATGCACCCGATTGTGCAGCTACTCGGTCAATTGACTTCAGCGCCCTCTTGGAACAGGGAACCTCATATATATGAGCAAAGACATCAACTGTTTGGAATGTGGGACTGAAGGACACAATGGAATTCTCTGATACAGGCTGCAAGACAGGTACAGGCACAATTGGCAGGCATGGGAGGGGAAAACAAGTTTGAAACGGCCTTGAAAGCATGGACCCAGCCCCAGTGACTGGGCAAAGTGTGGGTGACATACTAGGTGGAAAAAAGAGCTAGGCTATCAGAGAGGTGCAAAAGAGATACCTGGCCACTGAAGCACTGTCCTGGGGAATTCTGGGAAAGGCTGTTTTAGAGTCTAGTGCCATTTTCCACTCGAATATAGCTTTCCACACTACAGAAAGATATGAAAGGGTGGGCATTTCCAACTAAAATATGCTACTCTGCCCCTACCTGGCAGTGGAATGGGGTGGGGATTTACATCACTAATCCTGCATGTTGCAGAGAGCCTGGCGTAAGCACCCACTTACCAACACAGAGGATGTTGAAGCAGAAACCCTGCGAGGTTGACTTGTTGACCAGTTGATCAGGGAGACTGTCAAAACCAACATGACCTGACAGGGACAGGTTTCGATCATCGTTCTGAAATTCCAAAGAGAAATGTTTGAATGCTTTTAAGAGAGCCAACTTGCAGTAACATACATGCTCATTTTGGAAACTGAAAGGAGTATCACAGCTTTCCAGCTATTTAAATGGAGGTACATTTAATGTTTCAGTAGAGAATTTAGGAAAGACCATGGCTCAGTGGTAGAGCAAACCTGCCTTCTAAGCAAGAGGGGGCAGAGTCCAATCCTCGGTGCCTCCAGTTGGAAAGGTTCTAGAGCAGACAACGCTAAAAGCTTTTGGAAATGTAGAAGATCCAGTCCTAGCCTACAATGTTGAGATAGATCAGCAAACAGACTGCCCTGGTCAAACGTGGCTTCCTAAATACATTGCTAAAATGTAGCTGTGATCCTTTGAATGAGGGGGTACCCCTTACACATACAGAGCAGCTGCTGGGCAGAGGCAGGGTGGGAGGCGAGTTAACCCTGGACAGCAAGCCTGCTTTCTGAAGAATATGGGTTGGTGTCCAGGCTGGCTGGGAATTATGGGAGCTGCAGCTGGACACATCTGGAGAGAACCAGACTGGGGAAGGCTGACTTATATGATGCTCTGCTCTGCTCTGCTATGCCGTGCCAGTTTTTACCATAAGAGGTAAATACCTGTGGAGGGAGGGGAGAAATTCTGGACACTTATACCTTACTGGTTATACTGTTATAGAGTTGCTATTCCCAGGAGGGTCTCATATTTTCTATTACAGCTTCACAAGCATGGGGGTGGGGGGAACCATAGGATGGAATTCCAAAGGGTCTTCCAAAGGTGGAATTCTTCCCTCCCTCTCCCCCCACGTATTAAGGAAAACAGGAAAGCAAAATTCATCAGAAAGAACATAGGCGCAAGGGAATAAAAACGGAGCGGAGCCCAGGGAATCCGCAGTTCTGTTGCAGCCATCCAAAAAGCACACATGGAAAGTCGACCATGTGACTGGCAGCCACGTCTGGAGTTACTCTCCCCCCTTCGGTCTGCTATTTATAAAACACACCAGGCTGTGCTAACCGGAGCTAATAAATTGAAACGGCACAACTGTGCCCCAAGTCATCTGCTGTCCTTCAGCAGGCCCTGAAGGAAAATGAAAGGGCACTGAATTCCTCCAGCTGAGAGAAGGACAAGCACCCTTCCCTGCAGCCCTGGGGGGAAGTTTAAGCCATGGGGGGTCCCCATGGCTTAAACTCAAGCCATGGCAGGGGAGCAACATACCAAAATATTTCCACCCCTCGCATTCTGGACTCAGCCTCACTTGTTCCTCCGAAGCCAGCTTTGCAAAGAAGTCTACACAAGTTGCTAGCCCAGAAACCATTTTTTAAAACTGTCTCTATTAGTCATTCCAGATATAATTGACAGCTGAAAGCAAAGATTCATTTGTCTACCAGGTTAAAACTCATTCCTTGTCCTGCTTGCCTGGAGAAAGTTTGACTCACTGCAAGTTTCCCCTGTGGACTTGCTAAAGCCAGACTCCGGACATCTTCCCAAAGTGGCAAAATATTTTATTTTAATTGAAATGATTCCAACAGGCTTTTAAAAAAAATGATGGCAGTGTATTCAACAGGATGGAAAACCTATCAATTCCTGATTTAATCAAGAATTCTGGGTCCACAGCCAGGAGGCTCAAGAGATTTTCCAAGTCTTGCACAAACAGGAACTACAAAAGGAAGTCATATAAGAATTCACTTCTGCTCTAAATAAAGTGACAGAAAGCATTTAAAGCTAGAATGATTAAGAGCATACAGAAGAACAAGCCCTGCGAAGGAAGAGGCAGCATGGTTTCTGTATGGGGAAGTCTCTCCTCCCCAGCATCCTTAGAAATCCTTAAGAAAGTGTAACAGACGGGCACATGGAGCAAGACAATGATACCTAGTTGTATTTTTCAGATTCCACCCAACTCTTCAGTATGAGGATTGGACGCTAGTACCAAGGGGTGAGACGAAGGCAGCTGTTAGACGGAGGCTAACCTAAAAGAGGGTTGGCAAGCCATAAGTGGAGGGGGGGGAGAGAGAGAGTCCAATCACATGGGAAGAATGGAGAGGATTGTTGACTCCTAAAGTCAGTTTTCAAGACTGCAACAGATACTCTGATTCGCATCCCCACAGACGTCCATGCTGAATTTGTGCACTTGTTAAGTTACATTGCTTTTCCTGGCTCCTTCTGCAGCTTGTACTAATTTTAAAAGATGCCACATAGACAAAGTTTACCAAGCCAACCAGTGAGCACAATACGAAAAACTAACACAGCAAGCTCTCGGTTTGATTTAAGTTCTTCCCTTCAAAGAAGCCATTCTTCCTCTACAACTCCCCCTGCCAAGCAAATCTTAAAGTTGTAAGCTTATTCCTCTCTGTAAGACCCTCAGCTTAAAGAAAACCTGTTACAATAATTTACTGGCTGATGGGAAAGTCGTGAGCCAGTTATAGCTGGTGGAAAATTAGCCAACAATCCTACAATACATGAAAGCCAGCATCTGAAATTAATCGAGTCACTTCGGGTACCGCTACGTGTCTGATTTCCAAGAAGCGTGCTTCCTTTTGAAAAACTGAGCCTGTCACAATGGCTTCGAACAGATCCGTATGTATGTATTGATAGTTCCGGGATGCACAATCCGACTGGGGACTTGTACAAAATGTGCAACAATTATTCATACCTGTAGCGCTGTCTGTAATCCTGAACAGGAAGCAGACGGCTTAATTTTGGATGCTAAAGCACATGCAGAACACAAAAATGGTTTGCTTTGCAAAAGTCACACATCTGCCTTTGCAGCTCAGTGCCCAAATATGCAACACGTGGGAGGACAGAAATGCCCTCAAAAATAGACTGGCTTTGCACACCCTCAATTTCCATGTTGACTCTGAAAATGTGGCAAAGGGGAAGCAAAAGAATAACAAACGCATGGCACAGAAGAAATGTATGTAATGTACTAGATAAATTCGGAGAGTGGGCTGGTGAGATAAGCAAATCTTGTTACGCTCACTTGGAAGAGGAAAAGAGAGCTCAGTGCTTCTGACCCACCCAAACATTCATTACAAGCTTGGGGGGGGGGGAGGGAGCAAAGCCATGGATTTAAGCCCCTCCCCTTGGAGTACTCCCAAGGGGAAGTTAATAGCCCTTTGTCCCACTTCATCTTCAGAGCCTGCATTTTTGTATCTTCATTTTAACCAAGCGCCGCTCCATGAGACGGCTGCTTAGACCAAGCGCAGATCTTCAAGGCAAACTGTTTGGCTAAAAGGTCAGTTCGAACTCCAAGCAGTAATAGCACCACTTATGCCAAGAAACAACATAGAAAGGCTATTTCCCTTCCTTACAGTTTTTCTCCAAACCGCTAACATTTCTATTTGGAGTAGAAGTGACTAATGCGTATAGCAGCTCTCATGTCACAAATTGCTAACCAGCAGAAAGCTGAAGGCTCTTTTCCTGGTGAAGAAGGGGTGGGAAGAGGGAAGATAAGAACCATGTGTGTGCATTCCTGCAAGTCTTGTAAAGCTAGCAAGGGAGGGGGGGGGGGGGGAAAGGGCGCACACAATGCGACAAACAAGTATGAAGAACTTCCAAAGGCACACACCAATCAAAACCAGATGCTCTTCCCCTTCCACAGAGCCCGTGCTGAATTGTCAGTCTGAGCTGCTGCATTCAAGTGGATAAGGAGGAGTGTAAATCAGTCATTTGCAAGACTTTCTCCTGGAAATGCCAAATTGCTACAACTCCCCCCCCCACCCCCGCTTGTCGCCTGTCGCAACTCCTAAGGAGCCCAGGGGAACGGGAGGAAACGCCATCGCCCAAGCCGCGTTCCTCTTTGGCTTGCATGCTTGCTCACTTCCTTGCTGGCTCTCCCAGCTTTGGAATTAGAAATGTTAGGCCGAGTGAAGTGCGCGGGACTCTGGATGCAAAGATGCCAGAAAGGTCTTGATGCTGCTGCTGTGAGGCCCATTTGAACAGGCATATTCTCCCCTTTAAAACGCCGAGAATTCTAGTTGGGTTTATTTCTTTAAATCCACTCCACTTTAGCCTCTGAAAGCTCTGCATAGGCTTACAAGTAAAAGGAAACAATAACAAGTTATTGTTCAGCTAAGAAAAATCCTAGCCCTAAGGCTTCTGTCCATGAGTGCTTAATCCGGTCCTGCACCAGAGCTGCTGCTTCCATTTTCTTTGTCAGAGTGCAAGTGTGTCATTTACACATGGGTTTTTCTCGGGGGGGGGGGTCTCTCCCTCCGTTCCCCTTGTTCTACTGCACAACCCCTCAGCCAGCACTGGGATGCAGCACAATGGCCAAATGAAGGCGCCTGTGTGAGCACAATAGCTAACCAATAGCTGATTATCCTTATTTCTTTTTTAGAAAAAGTGCAAAAATGGCTACCAAACGCAGAAGAGGCCCTGTAGGAGAAGGATGTGTGCAAAGCTCCTGCAGACTGAACTGAATAGAAATATTCTACTTTTTTGCGTCCAATGTGGGCACATCAGGCTATAAGTGACCTCCATAGTATTTGATCCACAGCAACCGTTTCTTTATCCTTCCATTCAAGGTTGATTCTTCTGAGGTCCTTTTGGAATGTTTGATGCCAGGTCTTTTTTGGTCTTCCTAACCTCCTCCAAACACCTAGTAGTATCCAGTTAATTGCAGGGCATTGTTAATTAGCAGGGCATGGTTAATTCATGTGGAGCACACCTCCAGCAAAATCCATTCTTCGTTCTGCTATCAACTCAGAGTCTTCGGTGCCACGTCTTTGTAACACTTCCTCATTTGTAATTTGGTCCCAGTATGTAGTGCACAATATCTTTCTAAGGCAACATTGCTGAAAGGTGTTGAATCAAATATCGTGAGAGCACAAAGGATGTCTTCTGTGAGAAAGCCCTGAAACATCTGCAGCAGCACAACTACCCCACAAATACCCATTTCTAAAGCCTGGCTTTATACCCAGCTTCAGACTTGAGCCTGATAGCAGGACCAGCCCAAGGAATCCTGCTGCTTGAGGCCGGAAGGACAATGCCACCCATGTCAG